TATCAACCTATGAACCAAGAGATCACAGTTTTTTTCCAGGTCAGAGCACATGGCTGGGTTGTGAGTTCATTCCCCAGTAGGGGGCATGCAGGAGGCAGCTGATCAATGATTCTCTGTCATCACTGATGTTTCTATCTCCCTCTCCCTTCCTTTCTGAAATTAATGAAAAAAAATTTTTAATTACGTATTTCAAGACACTCACTGTTAAGAAAACAGAAAAGACAAGCATACCTGAGAAGAAAATATTTTCAGTTTTTTAATATATTACTTTAATCAACATTTCTACTTTGTAAAATAGAAAAAAATTTGAACAGATACTTTACCAAAGAGATAACAATGGCAAATAAACACATTAAAAATGTTGAATATCATTAGTCAGTAGGAAAAGGCAAATTAAGTTACCACTACTAAACACACAGCAGAATGGCTAAAATGAAAAAAAACAAAAACAAAAAAACAACACACAAAACCTTTAATACATGTCCACATGGAATCAGGGTAATAAGAACTCTCATCTGTGGCTGGTGGAAATGTAAAATGATATATCTACTTTGAAAAATAGTCTAGTAGTCCTTATAAAGTAAAAAAACAAAAGACAAAAAAACTTCATCATACAACCCAGCCCAGCTACCAACAACAAGGTATTTATCAAAGAAAAATTAAATGTCTATCCAGAGACCTATACACAAGTGTTATTGGATCCTTATTCATAATAGGCAAAAGTCTAGAAACTGAGTTGGTGAATGGATAAACAAATTGTAGTACAGCCTGAACAGAGTTCTACTCAGAAATAGATGCAAAAACATAAATTTTTAAAACATTATGCTAACTGAAAGATAAACTCAAAATACTAAATCCTGTATGATTCCATCCATATGACACTATGAAAAAAGTAAAACACTAGGGTAGAATCAGTGGTTGCCAGGGGCTAGGTTGGAACTATCTTGAATACATTGGTGGTTGCACCCATAGTATAATGTCTAAGTTCCTCATGCTGTATACCTATAAAAGAGCAATTTACCTTATGTAAATCATCTTATTAAAAAATTATTTAAAAGTTTTAAATAGGAAAAAAGAAAAAAGCAATTATCAGTGAGAGGGGATTTTTTTTTTCTATTTCAATTTAAAAGCACTGAAATGCAACATACTTCTTTTGCATTATAATGTCTTTACAAGTAGGGAAAGATAGTGTATCATGCTTTTTTAAAAATATATTTTTTATTGATTTTTTTACAGAGAGGAAGGGAGAGGGATAGAGAACTAGAAACATTGACCAGCTGCCTCTTGCACACCCGCTACTGGGGATGTGCCCGCAACCAATGTACATGCCCTTGACCGGAATCGAACCTGGAACCTTTCAGTCTGCAGACCGATGCTCTATCCACTGAGCCAAACCGTTTTGGCTATCATGCTATTTTCTTTCCTGGCTGACATGGTGGAAACTTACATGCATATTACTAAGTGAACAAAGGCTACAAACTGTATGATTCTAGCTATGTGCCTTTCTGGAAAAGGCAAAACTAAGGAGACAGTAAAAAGATTAGGAGTTGTCAATGGTTGGAGGGAGGGAAAGATGGATAGAACACAGAGGATTTTAGGGCAGTGAAACTATTGTATATGATGCTATTGTACAATGGTGGATATATGTTCATTATACATTTGTCCAACCCCATAGAATGTACACCACCAAGAGTGAATTCTAAGGTGAACTATGGACTTTGGGTGATCATGATGTGTCCATACAGCTTCAATTGTAATACATGCACCACTGTGGCGCGAGGGGGGTGCTGAAAGTGGGGAAGGAAAATGAGGAATGCATTGTGGTGTGAACCTAAATTTGATCTAAAAGAATACCAGTTTAAAAATAAATAAAAACGTATTTTCCTTCAAAGGATAAAGAAATAATATAGACAAATCAAAATGTTTTTCTTATTTCATGCATACATCTCTGAATACCTGTTCAAAGAATACTTCCTAAGTAGCCATAAATAACAGAAATCAATTTTTCATTTATATTTAAATACAAGTGTATTATATACCTATTAAAGTGTAATTAATCTATTATTCAAGTCAAAGAAATAAATAGTAAAATCCCTAAAACTTTATTAGTTGGGGCTTTTCTCTGCCTATTATTATTTTTTTAAATACTTGTTTTTCAGATAGGATGAGGGTCAACCATTGATACCAGCTGGGCTCTCTTCTATTTTAATTCCTAGAAATGAGACCTAGGTGTTATATTTCTCAACACTTCAGGTGATTCTTATTAATCAAGTTTAAAACTGGAAGATAGTACAAAGATTAGAATAACAGAGATACTCTTTTATATGATAAAGCATATAAAAGTTTCCAATAAAACTAACAAACCAGGTAACAGTGGCAAGAAGAAAAAAAAAAAGTCAGTAATGAGGCATCACATTTCTGGGAAAAATACCAGAAAAATAATGAAAAAATACAATTGGGCTGGGGTACTGTTTCACATGCTGGGGATATAGCGAAGAAAATATAGAGTCTCTGTCCTAACAGAACTTACATTCTAGTGAGGAGACACTCAATGACAAGTGATAAAATATATATAAAGACAAGTACTGTTAAGTGCTAGGAGAAAAAGCAAAATAAAGAATATAAAATGACGAACGTGAGCACTCCTAACCACTTTCAGTTTAGCGCTGAGGTCCAAATATATTTAAATATAATTTTACTGAAATAAACCTAAAATTAACAAGCCTCCACTTACCTTTGAACAGTCCTGGTGTCAGAAGTGGAAACCAAAGGAGACATCCCACCACGATCTCAGGAGCAATGAGCAACGAGCAACCAAGCAAGCGTACCTGTTCAGTCCCATGAGCTTGCCGTTTCTAGAGGTGGTTGGTGGGTAAGTCCCTCTCCAATCCTGGACCCTAGCTCTGCGCTTTTGCATGATGAGCTTTTATACTTTATCTGAGCATTTCTTTTTCCCCACCATATCTGGAACCCAGCAGAAGCCAGACTGGGTCCGTGGTGGGGCCACGTCTGACGTAAGCTTATCTGGGGATTATGGGAGGCCTCAGGTGAATAACATTTGTTTTAAGGCTGAACCAACAGGTTAGCTCAGTCAAACAGATGATTTTTAATTACAGTTGCCATGGTAAAGTTAACCAAGAATTCATTGTTAAACAAGGCCATTAGATTCAGTTGGCTCCAATGCCATGTCGCCCACTCTACATTTGAGTCTTGATAGTTTGAATTATAAATCTATGACATTTATGGTCCAAAGACCATTCTCTAGTCAAAAACAGTCATATAGTGCACATATAAGAATTATGACATTTATTTCTAGTGTATACTCTTTTTAAAAATACATATATTTTTATTAATTTCAGAAAGGAAGGGAAAGAGAGAAAAACATCAATAATAAGAGAATCATTGATTGGAATTGAACCTGATCTCCTCGTTCATAAAGTCGACGAACAACCACTGCACCATGCTGGCCGGGCCCTAGTGATAAATCTCAAAAAAGTAAATTGTGTAAATTAGTATAAAAATCTCACAACCCTTTCATTATTTAATTACAAAATGATTACAGACAGAAAGTTATCATAGGTAACCTACCTCAACTGTAGAGGTTCTAATTTTAAACACTCTGAAAATAATGAACGAATCATTCACACTCATTCTCCACAGCTTTCCAGTCTGCAAATTATTTTCTAACATATCCTAAACAAAAATATGTTCTTGATAAGCAAACAGGACATTGCTTTTCTTAAGAATCATTTATTGTAAATTATTAAATTGGAAGGCTAATTGGTACAGTACTATGCATAATCTCTTATCCTTGAAAAATTAAACAAATAGATAAAAATGCAAAGCAAAATGAGCATGTAAAAGACAAAAATAAGCTTATTTTATAGAGAATGTTCCCTATTATATCTATGTACTAATGTTCTTCTCCATTGTTTTAATAAATTTATGGCTTATTCCTCTTCTATGTAATTCTTACAAATGAACATATTTTCCATCAGTTAATAGATGTTACATAGTTTTGGATTTTTCATTCAACTCCACTAATTAGTTGACTGAAATATTCAAGTAAATATAGAATTAAGAATCCATTCCATTGTCTCAAAAAATGTAATACTGTTCTTTTATGAAATTTGCACAATAGGATATAATCCAAATGTTCCAACTACAAAGTGATGATTTTAAAATGTCAACCCTGATTTGTTTTGTTATTATTATGACCTCATTAAGCATTACATTTTTTTATTCACTGCTATCTTGTGGAATAATCAATTTTACAGTGAAAAGGCTTAAAAAATGTGTACATGTACTGGAACCGAACTATTTTATCACTTTTATATTGATTATAAATGAGTTATTTAAAAATAGAATTATTCCCCATGTTATGTGATATATCAGAGGAAAAAAAGATCAATATTCTTCAGAATAACTAAAAGAAGAATCACTGCTTAAAAAAACAACAAAAAATGGAAAGCAAGCTTTATTTTGTATCCTTAGTGTAAATTTTAGACCTAATAGAATAAACAGAAAATATTTTAAAAATACATCTATGAACAAATTTCCGAAGATTGCTCCCACAGCTAAATCAATAGGGACACATTTAAAAATATTATTGGAATATATCAATATATTTGTCAAAGTTAAGATTCAAATTTGTTACATCACAGCACACATCCAAAAATGTATGCTACACACGTCAAAAATTCCCATTGAATATAACAAAATAAAAATCTGTGAATAAATATAAGGCATTTTGAAATAATATCTGCAGAAAACCAAAAAGAGGCCAACAAAAATTCCTATGACCTAAATTTTACGTCATAGATTCATATGGTCTTCAAAATAGATTTAGTTGTAGTGCTACACATTAACTATATTCAACTGCTTACCAAAATATCCATTTTTGGCAGCTAAATGTTACTACTTAAAAAAGAAAAAAGTTAAGTGCCTTTTTTCTTAAGAGAGGGGAAAAAATGCAGCAGAAAATTACAGGAGCCCACATATCCTTTTTCTTAAATTTAATTTGTCATATATAAGGTTTTTATATACAATCAGTGTGCATTGTAACAGTTATATTATAAAAGTCAATCAAGTTTATCTAAAATGTTACCTGGCTGCATAGCACATTTGACATTATTGCCCACATGAAAAGAGAAAACAAATGGATTTACAATAACTTTTGGCTATTTTGAATTCTGAGTGTTCATACACTTACCCTTTTTAAACCAAATGCATCTGAAAATGTTTCCAGAGCATGCAGTTTAGATTTTACGTATTATCTCACCATTTTGCTACTACATACACACTATTGACCAAAAAATAAAATAAAATAAAAAAGTAAAAGGAACGAAATAACATGTATTTAATAAAATAGTCAATATAAAAAGAGGACTAATGGAATTAAGTAGCCCCTTTCCCCATTTTTTACATTCTAAACAATGATTCCATCAAGACAAATAATTAAAAAGTGTTGTTACACTGATTTTTTTTTTTTTTAAACAATAAGAAGGCCTGAGTTGGTAGGGAAAGGAACAGTCAAAAAAAGCCTGAGAAAGGGAAGTAAGTAAGGAAAGCTCATTTAATCTATTTACAATAATTTACAGTCAATTTTTTGTGTGTATGTAAAAAGGCATAATAATAGATCACAAACAGGAAGTTCCTGGCTATTTTACAGATATAGGTACAGAATTTAAATATTCAAGCTTGTGATGAAAAGCGGCAAGGTGGTCGCAGTGTACAATGTAAACAAGTAGCTTTGGAAAGTGAACAAAATCCTTGAGTGTTTTTTCTTTATTAAGAAAAGAACTCTCTTTCATTCCTTCCTGAAACATGATCACAGGTCAGAGTAAAGTTCATATACAAACATAATTTAAATGGAGTTCAGTCTAAAATCATTGACTTAAAAACAGTTTATCCAGCCTATATGGAAGGGCAGTGTTGAGGTCCCTGTAAGAGTAAACATTTTCCATCTCTTTAAAAAAGAAAAAAAGAAAAAAAGTACTACAATATTTGTAGCACAGTGCAGCATAATCCTTAAATATAAAAATATTTTCTCTTCTGTTGGGATAATAGACCTTGCATCCTGGAAAGAAGTAACAATACTGCTACTGATAGAAGATCTGTTTATATCTTTCAAGTCATGTAAGGCAATTACTGTGTTGGTTTATGATATATGGCTAAAAGAAAAGTCCAGAACAACAAAATATCAGTTTTTGTTATGTTTTCCGATTACTCCAGGTATGCTCAGGTGTACTTTTGTGTTCAATTGAATGTTCAAATGGAGATCTGGAGCCATAAGGAGACCTCTGATCTAGTGGTGATCTAGGCCCACTACTGGAAGCTCTGTGGTCCATTTGCCAATCTGAGTGATACCTATAATCCCTGGAAGATTTATGATGTGTATATTCAGAACTTGACCGATGATCTGAATGTAACCGATGATCTGAATGCAACCGATGATCTGAATGAGATCTATCTTTTAAACTTCCTTCCAAATTTGACCTGTGATCTCTACTTCTGTGATCATCCAGTTTTCTGTGTTTCTCTCTATCACTGTAATATCTAACAAAAGAGAAATTAGAAATATTATATACAAATTATATGTTTCCAAATGAATAACATCTTATTAAAAATAAAACAAAATAATTTAAAGTATACTTTTAATTGTATAAAAGTTCAGTGTTTCATTACTTAAAAATTACTGGAAATAACCGTGTACTTTTGAAAAACTATTTGATTCATAAAACTAAAGTGAACCATACAGACCACCTCAGAGAAATCTAATTTCACATCCCCATTTTATGATGTTTGTTACTTTTTATTTTATGCATCATTTGTATTAACGCATCTTAATTATCTGGAAGCTAGATTAAGATAACCACAACTATACACTTGAAATCAGAACCTTTTTTATGAGCCTCTAACCCAGTGCTTCTCAACCAGAAGCTGGGCTCATGTCTGGCAAGAACAGCAGTGATGGCGGGAGTCTCTCCTGCCTCCATGTTAGCGCTAAGGACGTCTGACTGACAGCTTAGGCCTGCTCCCCACCAGGAGCAGGGCTAAGCCGTCAGTTGGACATCCCTCAAGGGATCCCAGACTGAGAGGGGCAGGCCGGGCTGAGGGACCTCCTCTCCCAGAGTGCATAAATTTCGTGCACTGGGCCTCTAGTCTATAATAATGGGTAGTATGCTAATTAGACCAAACGTCCATCTGGACAAGACCAGAGCAGGAGTGAAGCCTGGATCCTGGGTGACTGCCAGCAGTGGCCGGAGTGAAGCAGCCCAGGTCCCAGGTGCCTGCAGGTGGCAGCTGGAGCGAAGCCCAGATCCTGGGTGCTGGAGGGAAGTTGGTGCTGGCAGCTGGGGAAAGGAAGGCCTACTCTTGCACTAATTTTTGTGCATCGACCTCTAGTGAACAAATAAAACATCCTGATTTCAGGACCATCTCAGATGTTTTCAAATAAAAATTTCCCCATTTGTTTTAAATAAAGTGTAATAAAGAACTCCCTCCATCAAATTTCAGCCATATTCCATCAAGCTTTTATTTTACCTTACTAGAGGCCCAGTGCACACATTTGTGCAAGGGTGGGAGTCACTAAACCTGGCCGGTAATCAGGGCTGAGCAGGGCTGTCTCACCCAGTCCTGATCAAGGCCAGGCCAGTGGGAGGCTTGGGGGAGGGTAAGAATGGGAGAAGGGACTACGGGAGGTTGGCCAGCCAGTGGCAGGGAGGGACCAGGAGAGGTTGGCTGTGGAAGCACAATGACCACCATGGGAAGCTCCTGTGTTGTGCGTCTGCTCCCTGGTCGTCACTGTGCATCATAGTGACTGGTTGACTGGTCATTCTGTTGTAACGGTCGATTAGGCTTTTATATACCTAGACTACAGGCCCAGTGCACAAATTCGTGCATGGGTGGGGTCTGGCTGGTCCTCCCTAATTAAGGCCAATTGGGCCAGGCTGGCTGGGGAAAGGGGCTGCTGACCAGCCCCACACCATGATTGAACTCCCGATCAAAGGAATAATTTTCATATTAGCCTTTTATTATATAGAATTATATTTTGAAGAGTTTTTAAGCCAATATTCTCCAAAACCAACAATGAATCCTGTGACATAATTATAGAACTCTCTATGCTTTCTTACCCTCACCGTCCCTTATCTTCCCTCTGAGGTCTGACAGTCTGATGCTTCTCTATCTCTGGATCTGTTTTTGTTCATCAGTTCCTCCCTATACTTTCATCTATTAAACTTTAATCTTAAATTTATAATTTAAAAAAACATTTTATAGAAAAACCCAGTTCTTAATATTAACAAAAAGAATTAGAGTATATATTTTTCTTATTTATAAATAAGCACCTTTATTTCACATAAGGTTTGTTTGAAGTGATAATAAGGTCAAACATAGTAAATAAAATAAAAAACAGAAAGAAACAAATAAGCAAACTTTAAGAACTGTCAGGTTTACCTGCTGTCTTGCTTGTAGTGATCCCAATCACGATGATCTTTTCCATTACTAAAAGAAGAATAGGGCCTTTTCCTAGAGTCACTCTTTTTGTAAGAATCTCCCTGATGTCGGTCTTTATGATGATCATGATACTGAGATAAGTGTCTATCAGAAGAATAACTGTCTCTGCTGCTATCATCATGATTTGTATTTTCTTTTAATCTTTCCACATCTGTTAAATTAAAAAACTCAACTTTTGTTAATGAATTTAACTTTGTTGCTACATTATAAGAATTTCTGTCTTAACTCCAGCTAAACAAAATCAGTTCCCAAATACAGGTAGTTAAAGCATTTAGAAATGGTTTATTAAAACAGTACTAAGAGTTACAAAAGGGGTCACTTTATTCCGAAATGTGAAAAATCACAACTGAAATATTTAAGGCACATTTCCTTCTAAGACAGACTATACTTTTGTGATTCTTGTGCAGAAAAAATGTATTATTGCATTCTAAATTAATTTATTATCATTTTAATAATTTATTGTATTTTAACAATTACCTACAATTTCTATAAACTGGTAAAGGGTGATTTATGGAAAGGTTAACAATAAGCAAAAACGGATTAAGATATTAGATTCAATATAATGATGTATAATAGGTATGTATTATCTAAAACCCCAAAAAGAAAAAACAATTTTAAAATGTGCTTTTAAAAATAATTAGTAAGACTGACTTACCTGGATTTCTAATCACTTGAATATTCACGTTGCTGTTCTGGTCATTATTTTGCTAAAATAAATGCACACATGTAAGCAACTTTTAAGTGGTATAATAAACTATTACAAAAAAGGGTGAGGGGCCCTAAAAAGAAAACCTCAAGGCTGAAAGAAGCTCGTACATAATATACTAGAATGTATATATATGTAGCATTTGCAGATATCTTCTTAAAAAATCATAAACTATTTGTCACATGACATTACAAAATTTGACTTTGAAATAAATTGAGACTTAACAAGAAAAGTAATACCAAAGAGTTCCCATAGGTCTTTCTTATAGCTGCTCCTAATGTTAGTATCTTATATAAGCATGGCATAATGATCAAAACTAAGTAGCTAACATTGGTACAATACTATTAACTGAACTACATACTTCATTCAGATTTTACATTTTTCCACTAAGATCTTTTTTCCACCCCAGGATCCAATCTGGAACTTCATATAACACTTAGGTTTTATGTCTAACTTAGTTTCCTTCAATGTGGGACAGCTCCATCTTTTTTTCTTGTCTTCCATGATCTTGACACTTTTGAAGAGTACTATAGAGTTACTGTGTGGTATATCTCTTGCAATTTTTCTGGAATTTTTTTATGATTGAGGTTATGCAAACCATGGAAGTGATGTACCTTTCTCAGTGCATCATACTCAGGTGGTTCATGATGTCAATACGTCTTATTTCACTGGTGATTTTAATCACTTGTTTACAGTGGTGTCAGGCAAGTTTCTTTTCTAAATGTTATTGTTTTTCTTTGTAATTAATAAACATCTTAGAGAAGATATTTTTAGACTATGCTAATATCTCATTTCTTGTTCACTAATTTTAGCTTCCTTCAGAAGCTCTTACCTGCAAATGTTCTTAATGTGGTACTCTAGTGGTAATTTTCTATTTCATTCATTCCTCCTACATTTATTAACTGAATTCTTCTCTAAGGAAGAATGTCTCAGTTTTAGTAACATAAATAAGGAAAAAAAAATGATGTGTTACTTTACCTGAGATTCCTGCCGTTTTTTAATAGCATGCTTATATAACTTATGTAATTTTCTTGCATCAAACTCAGTAAACTTAGATACGAAAATCCACAGGTTTCTAAAAGAAAAAGAGGCAAATTAGTCTGGTGAAAAATATTTAGATTTTTCATAATCCCCGAAACACACAAACACAAATACTTTGCCCTCTATGTAATAAAGCCTAAGGCGATTATTTCTAGTGTTTTTTAAAAATTTCATATAGGAATAAAACTCTAAATGAACCTAAACATTAAGTTTTATTTCTCTTCCAAATCCCTTCATTTTATAATTTTTAGAATGAAAAGCACTAATCAATCCTAATTTGAAACCAGAGATGCAAATTTACAAATCAGGAAAGGACTCATAATGTTATTCAGATTAGTTATAAAAGGAATAAGCTATGTTCCTAGTCTGAACAATTATACCATCAGATAATATCACTTGTAAAAACAGGGCCCTAACAGTTCTGCCCGGCGGTTATACTTTAGAAAACAACTGTCATTTTATAATTGTAATGCAATGGTCATGAGAATAACATGGAGTCTTTGGACCTATGGACAACATGGAGTCTTTAGGCCTCTCTTCCCATCCCAAGGCAAGAATTAGTAACTGATCATAGTATTTCATGATAAATTCAGATGCAGCCTATGGATACTTCTTAACACAGCTTCCTAAACAATCATTCATAATCAGTGACACTTAAGTCTATCTGCTATCACTGAAAAAGTAATAGTTTTACATATTCACAATTTTTTTCTTAAATATTTTTCAATAGGTATTATAAAATATGACTTGATATTTGCTTATATAAACAGGGTAGAGAAATTACTAATTAGCCAATGATAAGAATTTAGCAGATTAGCCAACATCAATATCTTTAATGAGCCAATCAATCAATTTTAAGGAAAAACAAAAAACAACACACACACACACACACACACACACACACACACAATCCTCTGTATGAATAACAACTTCCCAAAAGAAAGCCATCTTCTAATGACACTGGTTGAAGGAAGATGGTCTTAGAAAGCAAAAATTCTTAGCTATAAAATAACTTTTCATTCTATTTTATGAGAAAGTATATGAAAGCACTTAATTTGGGGATCTCTAAATGACTGACACATTTTTCAAATATTAAACACTTATTGCTTATAACTACAAAGTAGACATTAAATTATAAAGCCTTGCATGGGATACTTTTGGTAACAGGTATATTAAACTGTTTTTATATTTTCAAAGCTCTTTCCTATTATTTAATTTCACAAATAACCTTTAAATAGGCATAGTAAAAATAGCAGCCAATTTTAAAAATAAACAAGTAAATCAGGTAATGAGGCTAAATGACTCATATAACTAAGTAAGGCTAGAAAACTCCTAATTTGCTTTCCACTAAAATAAGTAATTCTCAGCCTGCTGATTTTGAGTATTGATATGTAAGAATAGCTGCTGGCTAGTAAACTACTAAGAAATTGCTATGTATTAGTAAATTTTGAAATATATAAGTCTGTGAGTTATAAGTTAACTGCAGAATTATCCCAGCACATGTGCATAAAGAGATGGGTATCTGGTGATTTTTTTAGACGAATTCTTATCAGTGTTAAGTCAGTTGTGGCTTTCTGTGTTTTATTAAATAACCATTCAATTTTATTAAATTGCTATTAAATTTTATTAAATTACCATTGGTATTATCAATTAAGTTTGTGAAGGTTGTTTGCTTAACTGCAACATATAATGATACTTTTTTTCATCAATATTTTGGCCTATAATTTTGCAATTTAAAGAGCAATAACCTATGTCTTCATAGTTAATGGGCACATATATACATAATACTCTCAAAATCTGCTCCCTAAAGTGAGCAATACTTCATAGCCTGTAAAATCGGGGCACTGAAATAAATTGCACATCCATCTCTCCGGCAATCATTGTAATTTTTGTTTGCATTTCCAAGATAAATGGAGGTGTTGTTATTTCTCACCCTAAATACTTCAGTATTAACACTAGTCAATATCTGTTATCTTCTTTTAAAAATAAAATGTACATAGAATAAGATGCACAATTTTTTAACTTTACACTTGCTGAGTTTTACAAATTAATATACTTTATAACCCCAAAATATATTTAAAATGTTCTGTTTTGCCCTTTCACAGTGTCTAAGTTCTTTTACCAATGGAGAGTTTTAACAGACAATGGGGTAGGTCAGAAATGGTCCAAAAATTGAGAAACATTCCCTATACCAGCAGTCGCCAACTCCCTACCCCTGGTTCGTGTTTATAAACTAAATCCAAAATAGCATATATTTGTATTAGTCACTATATAATTTCAACAAGATACTTATTACTAATCTTTCTAGCAAGTAATATACAATAGATTTTCTCCCTCTATGACCTCAAAAATACTCTAATTATAAGGTTTCAAAATATAGTACATTGAAATATTTTCAGATGGAAAACAAGCTCCTTTACACTAAAAAGTAGGAAAATGTTTAATATAATCCTTTAAATTAACGAAATTTAGCTCTAAGAACAATTCACTCCATTTCTTTATTTTCCCAATTTTACCACAGCTAAGCGACAATCAAAAACGTGTTTGGGAGCCAACAACAGAGAAAATTTAACTTTGGATCTTCAATGTAAAAAGATAGATTCCCATGAAAGCCTAACATATATAATTGAGTTTGATTGTATTCTTTTTTAAAAAAATATATTTTATTGATTTTGTACAGAGAGGAAAGGAGAGAGAGAGTTAGAAACATCGATGAGAGAGTCATCGATCAGCTGCCTCTTGCACACCCCCCACTGGGGATATGCCCGCAACCAAGGTACATGCCCTTGACCCGAATCGAAACCAGGACCCTTCAGTCCCCAAGCCGATGCTCTATCCATTAAGCCAAACCAGCCTCGGCTTGATTGTATTCTTGATCTATGGCTCTGAGCTTGGGAATCGTAAAATGAGTTGAAAAGGATGAAATAACTGTTTATGGTATTTGAGGAAAGAGTTAATGCTCCATTCAGTATATATATTCCATCCAAAAATAAAAGATTAAGCTAGAATATATGAATATATAAATATAGTACTTCAAAATTGTCTCCCATTCCTCATGACATTTATTATTATTCAATAAGTGGAAAATATGTAATCCCTTACAATTTATAAAGAGCTTCATGCCTGGCCAGTGTAGCTATGAGGTCACGTTTCAATTCCCAGCCAGGGTACATCCCCAGTAGGGGGGTCATTGATGTTTCTGTCTCTCTCTCCCTCTCTGAAGTCAATAAGAATATATTTTAAAAAAAGAGTTTCAGATACAGGGCTGCCCAGTTCTGCTTAGTGGTTAATAGCATCAGACGAAGGTCTGAAGGGTCAGGTTTGATTTTGGTCAAGGGCACATACCTTGGTTGCAGGTTCCCCAATTCTGGTAGGGGTGCCTGTGGAAGGCAACCAATCGATTGATGTACGTGTATCTCCCCCTCTCCCTTGTCTCTCCCTCCCACTTTTCCTAGAAATCAATGGAAAAAATATCCTAGGGTGAGGATTAAAAAAGAATAATCAAAATAAGAGCTTCAAATACAGATGTTATCAGTGATAATACCAGGGGGCTCAGAGATATTGTTCAAGGTCATAAAGCCCCAAATTAGCCAAGATGGGGACTGAGCAGATCTTCTGATGCCAACTGTAGTGACTACTCTATGGCTTTATAGGCACGATTTAAGGATATTATTATTGTCCATACATAGCTTTAGTTTCTTTAGACATGACAGCAAAATTTACATCATCAATTTCCTACCTCCTCTCCCTAAAATGGGTCCTGCTTGAATTTAAGGATAAAAGGAACAAGTGTAGAAATTTTTTATTTTAGTGTAATCATAACCACTCCTCCAGAAATATATTATCGTTTTGTTTGTTTGTTTGTTTTTTAAATGTGTAGCTGTATTACTATCAGGGACTTGTTTGTTTTTACTTTATGTTTTCCCCAAGTTGTGTAGTAGTTTGGTTTAATACTGATCTGGATCTGGTAATCATTACGTGATTTGTATAATAATATAGCAGTTCAGTTTTATAATTTTAAGATCAACTGTGTCGCTACTACTTCTAAAACAAAGGGCGATTGTCCATTTCACGTTGTATGGGGATATTAATTTTTAGAAGGTATTACAATATATTCATACTCAAAGACAAATTGCTAAATATAATTACATAATAAATTTAATTATTTGGCACACCAATTTCTAAAAATACTACTGAGAATAATATAGAGAATTGTGAAAAATTTTTTTAAATAAAATGCAAGAGAGTAAACAAGTTGGTGGCATAGGTAAATACCTAAACTACTGCTTCACACAATAATTTCAAAACTACAACTAAAAGACAAACAGACATCATTCAGAAACACAGGAAAGTTGGCTGAGTGGATATTCTACAACTAGAAGGAAAGAGAAAAGTACACTGAGACTCAGAGGAGCCCCAGAAGGCAGAGGTACAGAGGCAAGCACGCGAAGAGGGCTAGCAACTGAATATGCGGCTGGCTTTCTCAATCGGGAGGAAGACAAAAGCTCCTGACTGCTTGGAACTGCAGTTCCAGCAAGACTGGGGACCCAGACTCATTCGGGGAGAAAGTGGACTGTCTGGCAGTGGGCGAAACTCGAGAGCAGCTTTCTCTCAAAGGTGCTTCCTGCAATTACCACGGGACACTGAGACTCGGGGGCCTCTTAGGGCAGGGCTGACAGGAAACCATTGCTGTCTGCCCCACCCTGAGGCTCCGCCACATCCAAGCTGAGCACAGAGGCTATTGCAAGTCTTGTCTGACAAAGGTGACTCCAGCACAGAAGTTCTCCCAGGGCAGACACAGCTGATCCTCATAGCCAATTGTGTTGGAGGTCAACTCCTCCCAGTGATATCAACAACAATCAAGGCTTCACTACAACAAAACTGCACCCACAGCCCACAAAGGGGTGCACCACAAGTTTCCACCTCAGGTAACTGGGGAGAAAGAGCCACTGGGCCCTATAGGACACCTAGCACACACACTCTATCAACACAGGGAAGCAGCCAAAGTGTGAAGACAAAGAAACAGATCACAAATGAAAGAAATGGAGGAAAGCAAACTACTGGATACAGAGTTCAAGACCATGGTTATAAGGTTTTTCAAGAATTTTCTATAAAAGGATGATAAATTTAGCAATATGAAAAATGACCAACCAGAAATTAAGCATACACTGACTGAAATAAAAAATAATATACAGAGATCCAACAGCAGATTAGATGATCACAGGAATCAAGTCAAAGATTTAAAATACTAAGAAACAAAAAACTCCTCAGGAAAAGCAAAAAGAAAAAAAAATCCAAAAAGTTGAAGATAGTGTAAGGAGCCTCTGGGACAACTTCAAGCAAACCTACATCAGTATTATGGGGATTCCAGAAGGAGAAAGAGAACAAGATACTGAAAACCTATTTGAAGAAATAATGACAGAAAACTTCCCCCACCTGGTGAAAGAAATAGACTTACAAGTCCAGGAAGCCCAGAAAACCCTAAACAAAAAAAATCCAAAGAGGATTTTTGGATTTTAATTATAATGTGTCATACCAAGACAATTAAAATGCCAAGAACAAAAGACAAAAAGAGAATATTAAAAGCAGCAAGAGAAAAACAGTTACCTACAAGGGAGCACCCATAAGACTGTCAGGTGATTTCTCAACAGAAACTACACAGGCCAGATGGGAGTGGCAAGAAATATTCAAAGTGATAAGTAAGAAGAACCTACACAACCAAGATTACTCTACCCAGCAAAGCTATCATTCAGAATTGAAGGTCAGATAAAGAGCTTCACAGATGAGAAAAAAAACTAAAGGAGTTCATCACTGCCAAACCAGTATTATACAAAATGCTAAAAATTCTTTAAGAAGAGAAAGAAGAAAAAGGTAAAGATAAATTATGAACAACAAATACATATCTATCAACAACTGAATCTAAAAACCAAGGGAATAAAAAATCTGATGAACAGTATTAACTGGTGAATATAATAGAATTAGGGGCATAGAAAGGGAGTGAACTGACAATTCTCAAGGGAAAAGGGGACTGTGGGTGCAGGAAGAGACTGAACAAAAATCATACACCTATAGATGAGGACAGTGGGGGGGGGGGAGCGGGAAGAATAAGGGCAGAGGATGGGGTAGGAATCTGGTAGAGGGGAGATATGAAGGAGATAAAAGAGGAAAAACTGTAATAATCTGAACAATAAAGATTTATAAATAAAATAAAATGCAATCTAAATTTTAATGAAACAGCTTTCATTGTTTTTTATTTAAAGGCAGAAATACCAGCTATGAATATCATGATACATAATTAATTGATCACTCATGAATAAAAAAGCTTTAAAGGGAAAATAGTAAAAATAACCATCCTCCAGTTACCTCTCTAAACATTAGTATTATTAAAATTCAAAAGTAGAAGAATAAATTGAAATATAATAGATTATTACATACCCACAAATTTAACACTTCCTAAAAGTATATTACTTACTTTCTCCACTGCTTGATTTGTTCAGGATTTGTATACTCTTTCAGACATTCTGTGATATGGTCACCAATTTTTATTAAACATTGTCTAGTATGCTCTAGTTGTTCTCTTTCTGAAAGGCCTTTCTCAGGCCTATCAAGTTGTTTCAAAGCTGCTTTGACAGGCCTCATTCTTTCTTTACACTTTTAAAGAGGGAAAATAAGAAACATAAAGATGTATTAAACATAAATTAAATAAACATCTTCTTTCAGTGATATTTACATGAGTAAATACAGCACTGTTTGATGCTAAACTAACCATTAAATATCACCTCAGAGCTCTTAAATGCCAGGGATTTCCCCCCTTAGGTTCTCTTTGGAAAGCAAGACTTTCATTAACAGTCTTTGTATGAGTAATAACTTTGAATTTTACTTATCTTTTTGTAAAAATGGTACTTTTTACACTGGAACTATCCATTTTAAGCAGCTTAAACACAGAATGATGACAAGCATGGTAGCATATAAAACCCATTTTAGACCAGTGTTACTCCAAGTGTAGTCTATGAACTGGCACTTAGTTCCAGGGGATAGGCAGAGAAATTTCAGAGACCTTTATGTCAATCTGACAGGGCAATTTTATTACTGAACCAAGTAACAAAACATTAGGGCTTGTATTTTGTATATTTTTTAAAATTATATTTCCTAAAATACTAAAAAGAAGCTACTCCTTCACTTAAGACAAAAAGCAGTGTCATACAGTTAACAGGTTCAGAAATTAAATGGAGAAAAGAAGTTCATTCTAAGTCATCCTTAAATGCTTCTCCGTCAAGTTTTTCGTAAAGATTTTCCAAGTTGATTCTAAATTTAAATTATCTTCCAAATATAGTTTCATAACCCGAATTACAGTAGCAACAAATTCAAAGACATTTCTAAATTAAAAGCAGCAAAGAATAAAACTGCAGTTTAAATATTATATGGATTGTTACTAATAACCAGTCTACTACAGTGGTCACCAGCCTTTCAGACTTCAAAGACCACTAGTGCTCTGCAAACCATCAGTTGGTGACTGCTGGGATACTACTTACAATGCTGAATGTCTTCTGATCCAGCTCTTCAGATTCTTCAGATATAGGAACTGGTTCACCACTTGCAGTGATATGAACTAAAGGATCAGACACTGAAGATTTCTTGGATCTTTCCTTGCTATCAGATTTGGATTCGCTCAACTGAAGAAAAAGAAAAAGAAAAACCCAACAGTAACAAAGGTAAAATGATTAACACTTCCAAAAAACAATTGTTTATTCACTTTTAATATCCCTATCTATTTTATCTTTCCCCAATTTTATTTGGAGAAAACAAAATAAATAAATAAATAAATAAATAAATAAATAAATAAATAAGGTTACTCTGTAATGTTACCCTATAGGTAAGAAATTTTAAAAAGGGTTCAAGCCTATCTTTCTCTTCTACGAGACACCTACATGATTGAACTCAGATATTGAAACTAACATGGGCTGATAGGCAATTTGTTCTCCTAAAATAAAAATAAGCTGACTGTATAACTTTCTAAATTTTACATTATGATTTGCATAACTTTTCTTCCTTTATGTCTTTTTCTTTCTGCATAGCTTCTATAGCTTATTTTACTTTCTTTTCTCTCTTTCCTTTAAAAAAATTTTTAAAATATATTTTATTGTTTTTTTACAGAGAGGAAGAGAGAGTTAGAAATATTAATGAGAAAGAATCATCGATCAGCTTCTTCTTGCACACTGCCCATCAGGGATGTGCCCGCAAACAAAGCACATATCCCTGACCAGAATCGAACCTGGGACCTTCCAGTCTGAGGCTGATGCTATATCCAGAGTCAAACCGGTTTCGGCATCAAATCTTGATCAAGATTAAATTTATTTTCTTTGCATGACTACTATTGCATGTATGCAGATTCTGAAAAATAATCCAGAATCATATTAATAATGACACATGCAATATTTACCTTCCTATAAAAACTAATGTAAGCCAGTTCCATTCAAAATTCATAATAAAATTAAAGGAGACAAAACCTCACTCAAATGGTAATGTTTGAAAAGAAAGGACCTTTGCTCTATCTCTCTAGTGACATATGATATTCTATTGGATGGGTGAAATACTGTTCTGTAAATGAGACTGCGTAATAAGCTATTTTTTTAAAATATATTTTATTGATTTTTTACAGAGAGGAAGGGAGAGAGATAGAGAACCATCGACCAGCTGCCTCTTGCACACCCCCTACTGGGGATGTGCCGGCAACCAATGTACATGCCCTTGACCGGAATCGAACCCGGGACCTTTCAGTCCGCAGATTGACGCTCTACCACTGAGCCAAACCTGTTTCGGCTAAGCTATTTTTTAAAGAAAATTTCAGTACTAAAAAATAAAATTTCAGGTCTTAGTCAAATTTCAAATGTAAAACATACCAAAACATGCCATGTTCCTTTCTATTTAACTGGCTGCTTTTCTAAAACACATTCTTACCTTATCATCTTCATCGGACTTTTCTGAGAGCAAAGGAGAAGAATCACTCTTTATTTCCTCTTTCACTTTTATAGACTTCATTGATTTATTCTTCTTAGCTCTAGCTTTTCTCCTCTTTGAACCTCCCTAAAAAGAATTATTTTTATTCTAATCAATTTCACAGATCCCATTTATTAAAAAAAGCTTCTTAAATATTGAATCAAAAAGTAAAGAAACAAATAGTTTGACTCAATCCTTAGCTTGTTGGAAAAATCTATACACCATGCTTAGAAAAACCCAGTGGTACTAATGCCGTTAACAGCCAAAGACTGGTATGGGTGGGTGGGACTGCACCGTGGCAGGGTGCGTACAGATGGGCAGGGCTGCGCAATTTTGCACTATGGGCTTCTAGCAACTTAATAAAAATGAAGCAGAGAGAAACAGAAGGAGGTTTTTTTTTCCCATCCTAAATTAATATCTTCAACTAAATTCAATGCTACCAGAGTAGCATTAAAAATTATTTTTAATGGCATATATGTAATTGTGATATTGTGGTCATAGGTAAATTTTTTAACATTTCTAAAGTTCCAATCAACTTTTAGTATCTTCTTCCTACTTTTTTGGAGCTCCTCATAAATAAGCAGTGATCTTTAACACTACTCCTTAAGCTTCCCAATGTCTCCAAATAACACAGTAATGGAGGTTTGACCTTTCAAAAAGGACTCCATTCTGAACAAGTTTCCCCCATTCCCTCTCTAAATACTAAAATAAAAAGTAATCTCACTTCTGAAATACAATACTCATCAGAGTTAACATGAATGTTGAGATAATTTAAGGTAAAATATTACCATATTCAAGTGACACTACTAAATTATGAAAAAATACTCTTGTAAGTTCATATTAACCTCAGATGTCTTTCTAGGGCAGCGGTTGTCAGCTGTTGTGCATTGCCATACTGGTGTGCTGCAAGAATTTTCAAAATATGCAATACTGGACTATGTAGTCATGGGCACTTACCTCTTTTTCCTTAGATTGTCAGATATAAAAAACAGCTAGCACAACAACAGCTGTCTGGTGTGAATGAATAAAATATATTCCTAATTTTTTGTCAGATCAGCACAAAATATAATTTTTAGTAGCTCTATATAATAAAAATCTAATAGACTGAGTGGCAGAACAACCAGAACAACTGAACACCATTCACTATGACGGGCACTGACCACCAGGGAGTGTGCATGGAACATGGCAGGTGTCAGCTGTGGTGGGATGGTGAAGCAGGCAAGTGGAGGATGCCAGAACAAGGCAGGGCACTGGTTGCTGTCATCAGGGCGAATCCCGTGATGGTTACTGAAAATTATTTGCTACCATGTGCCACAGTCCCACCCAGTGCTTGAACTTGCTGCCAGCACCAGCCCTGCTCACACCTGCTGCCAGGATCAAAGATGCCATTCACACCCACTGCTAGCGCCGTCAGCAGGTGTGAGCAGTAGCTTCAAGCCCCAATAGCCCCTCTCAGGGCTTCTCCACCTCCCCTTGCTCCTGAGGGGAAATCAAAGCAAGCAGCGGCCTCTCACAGCGGCTGCCAGTTCCAGCCCCACTTGCACCTGCTGCCAGCACCAGAACTGCTGCTTGCACCTGCTGCCAGTGCCATGATCACCTCTGAGGGCGTCTCCACCTCCCCCCGACTCCTGAGGGGCAATCAGGGCAGCAGCTACCACTCAGACCTGCTAATGGTGCCAGCCCTGCTCACACCTGCTGCTGGCACTGGACCCAATTGCTCCTTGCGTTCAGAGGTTGCAAGTGGGGCCAGTGCTGTCAGTGTGTGGGAGTGGTGGTGGCAGGTGCGGGGCTGCCATCAGACAGGAACTGAGGACCATGGTGGAAGGAGCCAGGTGGGGGCATGGAAGATGGGCTGAGACCCACTCCTGTGCCTATTACAGTCTCACAGCCCACAGTTCCTTTCAAAGTGCACAAATTCATGCACTGGGCCCCTACTTAGTTTTTGTCACAAAAAGAAAATGGTGAAAATTACTGGTCAAAGGCAATTAGTAAGCTAGACTTATCTTAAAAATAAACTTCTCTTTAGCATATGAATTTTAACTTACTGCACCAGAAAGTCTTTGAGCTTCTTTTTTTGCAAGATCTCTACTAAGTAATTTGATGAGGTAGTCTGCCCGAGTCTGCAACTGTTTTGCTTGTGGTTTTTTATCAGGGTCATCTGGAAGAATCTGAAAAACAATTTTTTCAGTTTGTCTTTTATAAAATGAAAAAAAATTAAAGCTAAAAAGTGTTTATTTTTTAAATATATGCAACTCACTAACAAATTATAACTATTATATTTCAATATTTAGGAATAAACAGAATAAAAAAATAAATGTTTTAATATCTATGACACAGTAAAGATTAGTTTATCAGGAAAGAATTTCAAATAAATACACAATGAAGGGGGGGAAAATCCCTCTTCAAAATGGAATGCAGTGTGAGGTTAAAAATTTCTTCCAAATATACAATAGTGTATTTAGCATCCAGTGTTTATTAAACGCTAGAGGCCGGGTGCATGAAAATTCATGCACTGGGGGAAGGGGGGACATTGTGTATTCCTCAGACTGACTTGCCCCCTCTCACAGTCTAGGAACCCTCAGGGCAAGGCATGGCCCCCATCACCCTTCACTGCTGCTGCCTCTGGCCTCCCTCTGCGGGAGGGGAATGGGCCAATCAGGAGAAAGTGACACCCCCATGACGCCTCTGCTGCAACCACTGCCAGCAGCTGTGGCTGCCTGAGCCTTGGTAGAGGAAGGCCCTGGTAGCAGCAGCCACCATCCACAGCTTGAAGTAGCCTCAGGCAGCCACTGTGGCTTTGTCCAAAAGACTTCTGCAATAATTAGCATATTACCCTTTTATTATTATAGACTATGGTATTCTTAGATTTCCTTCCTTTCTCATTATAGTATATGATCTATAAAGTACACAAAACTTCCTAGAATAGAGGAGAAAACAAGATGGAGGCATAAAGTAAAGATCTATACTGCTACCTCGCACAACTATTTTAAAATGGCAACTGGAAGACAGAGCGGACATCGTCCAGAACCACCAGAAAGCTGGCTGAGTGGAAATTCTACAACTAGAAGAAAAGAGAAAAGGACACAAACTCAGAGGAACTGTGGAGGTGTGGAAACCTGTGTGCGTGGAAAGGGATGGCGGCTGAATACGCTGCTGTCTTACTTGCAGCACATGGAGCGCATGGGCAGCTAATGCACAGCTAGCTTTCTCATTCGGGAGGAAAACAAAACCTCCCAACTGCACTGAAATCCACCTCCGGGTGAGATTTTGGATACCAGACTCATTCGGGGAGAAACTGGACTGTCTGGTAGTGGGAGAAACTCAAGAGTAGCCTTCTCTCAGAGGTGCGCACAGCCATTGCCACGGGACACAGACTCAGGGCCCTCGTAGGGCAGGGCTGACAGGAAACCAAGGCTGTCTGCTCCACCCTGAGACTCCACCCTATCAAAGTCGAGCACAAAAGCCCTCCCAGTGGAGACACTGCTGATCTTCACAGCCAATTGGCCTGAAGGTCAAATCACCCTAGTGATACCAACAACAATCAAGGCTTAACTACAACAAGACTGCACACACAGACCACAAAGGGTTGCACCAAGAGTGTCCACCTCTGGTAACTAGGGAGGCTTAGCTACTGGGCCCTGCTAGGACACCTAGCACACAAAGCAACTCCATCAACTCAGGGAAGCAGATAATATGTGGAGACAAAGAGGCAGGCCACAAATGAAGGAAATGGAAGAAAGCAAAAGACTGGATATAGAATTCAAAACCATGGCTATAAAATTTTTAAGAATTTCCTAGAAAAGACCAATAAATTCAGTGAAACCCTTGAGGATATGAAAAAGGATAAACTAGAAATTAAGCATACAGTGACAAATTAAAAAATATTATATTGAGACCTAAAAGCAGACTAGAGGATTTTAAGAATCAAGTAAAAGATTTGGAATACCAAGAAGCAAAAAACACTCCTCCGGAAAAGCAAAAAGAAAAAAAAGAATCCAAAAAAGTTGAAGATAGTGTAAGGAGCCTCTGGGACAACTTCAAGCGTACCAACTTCAGAATTATGGGGGTCCCAGAATTAGAGAGAGAGCAAGATACTGAAAACCTGTTTGAAGAAATAATGACAGAAAACTTCCCCGACCTGGTGAAAGAAATAGACTTACAAGTCCAGGAAGCACACAGAAACCCAAACAAAAGGAATCCAAAGAGGACCATATCAAGACACATCATAATCAAAATGCCAAGAACAAAAGACAGAGAGAATATTAAAAGGAAAACAGTTACCTAAAAGGGAGCACCCATAAGACTATCAGGTGATTTCTCAACAGAAACTACACAGGCCAGATAGGAGTGGCAAGAAATATAGAAAGTGATAAATAAGAAGAACCTACACAACCAAGATTACTCTACCCAGCAAAGCTATCATTCAGAATTGAAGGTCAGATAAAGAGCTTCACAGATGAGAAAAAAAACTAAAGGAGTTCATCACTGCCAAACCAGTATTATACAAAATGCTAAAAATTCTTTAAGAGAAAGAAGAAACAGGTAAAGATAAAAATTATGAACAACAAATACATATCTATCAACAACTGAATCTAAAAACCAAGGGAATAAAAAATCTGATGAACAGTATTAACTGGTGAATATAATAGAATTAGGGGCATAGAAAGGGAGTGAACTGACAATTCTCAGGGAAAAAGGGGACTGTGGGTGCAGGAAGAGACTGAACAAAAATCATACACCTATGGATGAGGACAGTGTGTGTGTGTATGTGTGTGTGTGTGTGTGAAGTAAGGGCAGAGGATGGGGTAGGAACCTGGTAGAGGGGACCTTGGGGGGGCGGGGGGAGAGGAAAAACTGTAATAATCTGAATAAAGATGTATTAAATAAAATAAAATAAAATAAAACTTCCTAGAATACAAGGTAGCATCTTATCTAGAAGATGATCCACAACAGGCACTGTAAGGAAACTTTTACAATAGGACTCTAGTTTTGCTTCAAAGAAGCAAATGACCAATTTCTATTATCTCAAGATTCCCATTTATCTGTGAAGAAGTAAAATATAAAAAGGGATCTTAAATGATAAGAATAAGGCAATGCTTTCAGTGGTTTCCATTCTAGGCAAAGAAATGATTTCATTAATGTAGTAATATCAAATCATCAGAAATGGTTTGACATTACAAAAATTATAAAAGATTTCAGAATCCAGAATCTTTTTTTCCCCATGAATAATCTAGTTATTGATGAAATGAAAGATTTACTTTTAAGCTAAAAAAAATATCTTAACAAAAATATAACTTTAGGGGTAAGGAAAATCTCAGAAGAAATTTAAATTCATGAAATCCCTTCATGAAAACCAAATTCTAAAGAAGCCAAGGTCACACAACTATCTAGATTCTAGAGCCTTTGTTTCCTGACACCAAGTTGAGTTTATTTCTAACATAATTTAAAACATTTTTTGTATTATTTGAGAGTGGAAGAGAGCAACAGGAACATCAATGACCAAGCCTACAACCATGTGCCCTGACCAGGAATCGAACCATGACCTTTGAACTCGGAGATCAATGCTCAATCAGTAAGCCACACCAACCAGGTTCTAACATAATTTAAAAGCAAAATTAAATTCAACATCAGAATCAAGAAATTTTTAAGTACCTTGTGTGTTAGACTGAGGTCAGGATCCATTTTAATCATTTCCCAGCTTCCATATCCATATTCATATATGCCAATTAATAAATTGGAATCATCTTCTTTGCCCCAGTCTATATCAAAATGAGCAGCCTTTGTATGGCATGGGATAGTGTACCTGCCATTAAAATTAATAACCATTGTCAAGTTTATAATTGCCTTATTAAAAATTAATTTTTAAAATGTTAACATATATGAATCATTCAAAATTTTATTTTCAAAAACATTTCAGTCAAACTAGCTAATGATATAAAAAAACATTTTAACCTACATTCATATCCAAATTATTGAGTAATAAGAAATTTTACATTTTACAATGGAAAAAGTAAACAACTCACTGCTTTCTTTCTTCTGGATCTGAAGGAATGGATTTATGTAATGGTATTAATTCTTCCTCATGGGAGATGACTAACTTGGCATTCACTTGTACTCCTGATATTCGGAATGTTGGACCCTTTACTTTTCCAAGTCTACCACCTTAATTTTTTTAAGAAAGAGTAAAAAAAGTGTAAAATATATAACTACAAAATAAAAAAAGTAATGTATGCTATTATTTAGTTTAATAACTATTACTTACATTTACTTATTAGTATTATTTATGTTTGGGGAGAACTTGCTGGCAAACCTTAAATTTTACTACAAGATTTTTTAGTACATATTAGTGATTGTAATATTGGAGATGTGGGTTCATAAAAAGCATTTCATGTACTTTAATTGTTTTTTATCTACTACAGAAGGTACATCAATCTGTTGATATGATCAATAATTTCTTAATAAGATTTCCGGTATGATTTTCTTTTTCAGTACATCTGATTACTAAATCTTTTCTAAATATTTTTATTTAGTGGATGAATTGTGAAATAAGGATAATAAAGTAACTATGACCAAAACTAATATTCTTTTAAGACTGATGAACAGGTAACTTAAGATATAATATCTAACTCAATAAAAGCATATTTTAAAAGTTCCATTTACCTCTCTTTAAATCATTTTCATTTTAATATTACCTGTCCGTTCTGTTCCTGAAGAATTATCCTTCAAAGCTTTAATGCAACCATTATGTACCAACTCTCCTAGTCGTCTGAGGTCTGTCTCTGACTTATCAACTAATTCAGCATCTCGAGCTATTGCATCCAATCTGTAAGAAATAATACAATTATCAGGTAAATATGCAGACTAAATTTCACTTCATCTCAAATTCTACAAATCATGCTCTACAAATTTTAGTTCATATAATTGGCATAAGATAAATAAAAACCAGAAAGATTTGATAGGGAAACAATTCATCTATATATTCAACGATAATTAAAGAAAGTAAACCAATTCATTACAGAACAAGTGATATGCTCCAAATTTGAAGATTATGTAATAACTAGAGGCCTGGTGCACAAAATTCATGCACGGGGGAAGGGTAGTTTGTCCCTCAGCCTGGCCTGTGCCTTTTAAAAAATATATATATTTCATTGATTTTTTTACAGAGAAGAAGGGAGAGGGATAGAAAACTAGAAACATCAACCAGCTGCCTCCTGCACGCTCCCTACTGAGGATGTGCCCGCAACCAAGGTACATACCCTTGACTGAAATTGAACCTGGGATCTTTCAGTCCACAGGCTGATGCTCTATCCACTGAGCAAAACCAGTTTTGACAATGTGCTCTTTGTAGTCCGGGACCTCTTGCTCCTTACAGCATGCCTGCATCAGAGGCGGGAGAGGCTACCACCACAGCTGCTGGGCTCACCACTCATGAGCCCGGCTTCTGGCTGAGCAGAGCTCCCACTGTGCGAGTGCATTGAACACTAGGGGGCAACTCCTGCATTTAGTGTCTGCCCCCTGGTTGTCAGTGCATGTCATATCAACCAGTTTGGTTGATTTGCATATTACGCTTTTATTATATAGGATTATATAGGATTCTATAAAACCTTTTTATAACTGACCAGATCTTAAATTCTTACTATGTAGACTAGATAATATGATTATTAATGTTCATAGTTTTTTCATCATCATATAAAATATTCAAGTCTTTTACTGTACTATAAGCAAGTCATCTCAAAATAAAAAGGAATTGTGTAGAGAAAAAATGTAAAACCAATTTTAGTCTTTGCCATTCTATATCCAGACAATGGATTTACCATAACAAAGAACAAAGAATATCCAAATCACAATGACTAAAATTAACAGATAACAACTATAATAAAACAAAAAAACTGTCTTGATAATTTTATTTTAGTACAGTTTGTGTAAGAGGAAGCTGTATTTAGAAAAACAGAAAATTTCCCTAGTAAGAGAAAATAAAATAGGTCTTTAAGTAAGGTGGCTAGGTAAGCAACTGTTTTCCTAAAAATGAATCTGCTAGTTATAAGTTTCTCACCGAAAAAATGATAAAGCCTTTGAAAGTACCTTGAAAATTATAAAAATAAAAAGTATTTTATAGAAAAATTTATTGACAGATAAAATTTTAGAGACTAGAAAGGATTAAGGATGGCAGTAAAGCATTTTTCAAAATTACTTGAATTTTGCTTTCTACAGATTAACTTTGTAAATTTCCATTAAAAGCAAATTTAACGAAGTACCTAAACTAAATATTAGTATAAACAAAAAACCCTGACAAGAATATAAAACATACTATGATTCTATGAGAAAAACAGATGTATTTACCTTTCAAGAGGGCCACCAAATTTCTTGTAACTCTTGATAAACCTAGCAGAAAATAATTGTTTGATTTAAATGCAGGCTTCACTACTCATTAAACAATAGATACATTTATAAATATATAGAAAAAAGGAAATACTTGTTAGAATACAAATTAATTCAAGGTAGTTACTGACAAAAATGAATAAACTATGCTAGAAACCAAAATGTTAAAACATTAAAACATACCAAGTAAGACAAGAAATTAACACCCAGGATGATGTTTAGAAACCAATATAAATAAAACAATAGAAGCTAAATTTTATTTTAGAAATTACTTTATTTTTTTTTTCACAAGACAAAATAAGGTTCAAGGCTACCACAGGAAGTGTCTCCAGAATTATCAATCATATTGCACCTCCTAACATTCCAAGTGTTGATAAAATTTACTGAAAATAGCTTTAATTCAGAATTAGGGTATTATACCAACAATGGAAAATTAAAAATTTACTTAAGAACAAAGCTACCCAAGTGGCTGATGGATGAGGAAAAATATCCAGGAAAAGTTGAAATGCCTCTTCAACTAAAGACAGAAAGTCCAGCAAATCAGGTGGTCATAAAATACCCTTAACAAAATCTAATAACATTTAATTTTCTGGTAGAAAGAATGAGGAAGAACTTTATCGGTCAGGTCTATGATGTAAAAGAAAAGAGTTACAATGGCTTGAAAGAAACAAACTCTCAAAATACAATAATGAACAACCTTTTTACAAATTTCATAAGCAAAATTATTACATAAACAAAGATATTCTATTCCCCTTAAACATATCTGTATATACACATAAATATATTTTGAAAGAAAACTACAATTTATCTTACTACCCATTCTTACCTCAATTCCTACTTGGACATATCAGAAATACCCTTAACATGGTTAGTTTCAAAAAACGAATTACTTCAGAATTAAAAAACTAGAAAAATATGGAACTAAATTATCCCCACATAAAAATAGTAATGTTAGGAGTCAGAAGTGCAGTGAGAATTTTATTAAATAAGTCTAATATATTGGAATATACATTCATTATTCAAAAAGGCCAGTTTTGAACCAATTAATAAAACCAATAGATTTTAACAATCTAAATAGAAGACTAACAATAAATAATATGCAAAGATTAGATGTCAAACATTTTTTTTCTCATAGTTATAATGAACACACAAAAGCAGAACCCACCCAATTCCTAAACAATTTTCATATAATTGCTTTCTCTAAAACTTTCTCCTTCATCTTTAAAATGTTGAGATTTCTGTATTTTATTTTCACCCTCTGATAAAAATAAAATGAAGTAAAATGGTGTCACATCATCTTACCGCCGAATTTCTGCATCACTAAATCCTTTAATATTCTCTCGAGGGATAGTTCGTGGTCTTCCACGTTTCTTTGGCCTTTTCCTTTCTGAGATTGAATCACTATCAGATCCAGAATATCTCCTGCTTCTACTGCGCCTCCCTTCACTTCCATTGAAACTAATCTGGAATTTGAACAAAAATTTACCCAAACTTAGAGCAAAGAAAATTATATAAGACTGACAGAATTTAAAAACTTGGAATGCTTTTCTATGAATCAAAAAATATTCTATAAAAATAAATTTAAAAAGTAAACAGAATATAGCATGTTAATGATAGAGTTATTATGTAACACATTCCTATAAACCTAAAGAAAAACACCACTGTCCTTTTGTAAAAATGAGAAAAGTTATTACCAAGCAATTAATCAAATAACATAAGCATAAGATCATACAAACTCGTTGGTAACACTTTTTAAAAATGAGAATTAACAATGAAATGGAATTCTTTTATTAATCCATCAAATTGACCAATATTAGCAGTAATAGCTAATATTAGTAATGAGAAAAAAATGAACAGTAATATACTTCTGGGTATTTAAACTGGGTCAGAAGGCAATTTAGCGATATTACTGTATTTTTCGGACCATAAGACGCACCGGACCATAAGACGCACCAGTTTTTAGAGAAGGGAAATGAAGAAAAAAAGATTCTGAAACAAATAGTGTCCTAAAATATTTTATGTGCATTAAAACTCAACATCACAGTCATAAACACATGTAATCAACCCTGTAAAGTAAACAGCAGCATTTAGAACCATTTTAGAGCCGGGCAAGCACACAGAGACCACACAGAGCCGGGCAAGTAAAAAAACTTTTTTTTAAAGTATATGTGTAGGCTATATTTGGACTATAAGACGCAGGGACTTTTCCCCCCCACTTCTGGGGGGAAAAAAGTGCGTCTTATGGTCCGAAAAATACGGTAAATTAAAAGCCTTGAAAATTATCATTCTGCTGACACAGCAACATCATTTCAGAGATATTTCCTAAGAATGAGAAATGTGAGGGAAGATTGGCCAATAAAGTCATTTACAGCATAGATTTCTTTTTTAAATAGCAAAAAATCTAAATGTTCATCAAAGAGACTGGACAAATAACCTATACAATGGGAAGTTTTAAGAAAGCCATAAAAAATTGTGTGGTAGCCCTGGCTTGGTGGCTCAGTTGGCTGGAGCACCATCCCGTGCCCCAAAAGGTTATGGTTTCAGTTCCCAGTCAGGGCACATACAGGAGGCAACTGATGGATGTTTCTCTCTTACATCAACATTTCTCCCTCTCTCTCTCAAATCAATAAAAACATACCCTAAAGTGAGGATTAGAACAGATATATATATAAAAAAAAAAAGTCAGTTGAACCCACATAAAAATAAATATCCATTAGTTGTTTAACAAATATACCAAAGCATATTTTCTGTAAGTCTTTAGCATTTTTCCAAAGTCTCAGTATATATTCTGAATACCTTTAATATGCTGAAAGCTTATTATAAGTTAAGAATGGGCATTTAGTTTTTACTGTTCTATCCACCTTTTATAAGATCTAATATAATGCTATGCTTCCCATCCACTGTAAAAGGAAACCATTATAGGTTTTGAAAAAATAAACACAAACAAAAAACTACAAGCATGGTCACTTTCAGGTCAAACACATTATTTGGTTCCATGTCTGCGTGGGATGTATGAAGTTGGTAGGTTGCTCCTATCATAACAGTCTCAAATATAAGGAAATACAGTAGCGTGTAAGAGATGGGGCTCAAATATGTACTGGCTCACTTGGGAAGAACGTGAATGGTAGACATCAAGTACTATAAAATCAGGTATGATGAAGTTAAAAATTTGCTAAAGGCTGAATCCCTGGGAACCAAAGACAAAAGGAGAATCTGCATCCACTCTCAAGCACTTTTCTACAAATCTACACCAGGTGCTCAGGAGAGAAATCAGAGAAAACTCGACTTTGTGGTGCAGCCATGAAGAAAGGGAGCAGTCACCTTTCAGAATATAGGCAGGAAATCTTGCCAAGACCCATCTCAGCTACTGAACTGAGTGCATAGGAGAAGACCTAATATAGTTGTAGGAAAAGAAAACTAAAAACCCTTAGAAGAAGAGTAACAGGCCAAGGACTAGGGTGAGGCAAGTTCCTCAGTTGCCTCAAAACTTGAGGCACCAAAAAACTCAGTAATAAAAGATAAACTTTATTATAACACAATATCCTAAAAAAACAAAAGTTAATGCAAAAACTCTAGTATTAAGGTTTCTTTCCTTTTGCAGCAAGATCCAAAATAGTTTAGCATGGCACTGTTATCATTATCTAAAAATCTGACTATTTTGTTCATTTGGGCCACAAAATGATCAATTATTTTTTAAAACTTAAAACCATACAGTGAAAGCTTTCTGGCCATGACAGAAATAAACTAGAAATTACTAATGAAGATACCTGGAAAATCTCCCAAATACTTGTAAATTAAACAACATATTTCTCAAAAAAGAAACCAATGGATTAAAGAGAAAGCCACAAGGGGAAAAAAAAATATTTTGAGTAAATGAAAACACACCAGATATCAAAAATTGGAGATTCAGAAAAGCAGTACTTAGGGGAAACTCGTAGCATTAAAAGCTAATATTAGGAAAGGAAAGTCTTGATGCAATGGTCTAAGCTTATATCTTAAGGCAGAAAAAAAGAGGAAACTAAAGCAAAAAAAAAAAAAAAAAAAAAGGATAAATAATAAAGAGCAGAAATCAAATTTAATACAGAAAATCAATATACCAAAAGGTAATCCCTTGAAAAGATAAATAAAATAAGCATCTACCTAGAATAATCATGAGAATACTTAGCTGTATTAAGGAGAGAAATATTTTATAGACACTAGAATAACAAAGGATATTATGAATAACTTTATGCCCATAAATTAAACAACCTGGATAAAATGGACCAATCACTTGAAAGAAACACTCTACCAAATTCACTTAAGGAAAAAAAAGATATTCTGAATAATTCATATTTAGAAAAGAAGCTGAAGTAATAGTTTAAAATTCTTCTAACAGAAAACTCCAGGCCTAGAAAGTTTCCAAAAAAAATACTACCATACGTTTAATTAAGAAATATTAACAACATACACAACTCTGACCAAAAATAGGAGGGAACACTCTTCAACTCAATTTATAAAGCATTATCAAATCTGATAAAGACATTACATGAAAACTATAGACCAGTATCTTTCATTAAAAGAAAAAAGATCAATCCAGATGTGAATATTCTTTCATTATAAAAATATATTTAAAATTAAAAAGTCACCTGCTTAGCACAGTTTCTCATTCTTGGAAGCATATAAATTTCTTCAAGTTCTTTTTGTCTTTCTTCCTCTTCTAATCGTCTTCTTTGATCTTCTGGAATGATTTCTTCCCAATTCTTTGAATTTCGTTCAGGTTCCAACTCAATGTCATCCTCATCCATGTTTGAAAAGTTGGCAACCTAATGAATTCCAGAATATTAACTGAGTAAGCATTAAAAAACAACTCACATTTAAATTTTATTTTTCTTTTTTGGTGGGGAGAAAGTGGCATAAAAGGATAATGAATATGACTATGGAGTAAACCAAGTATGAATGCTGAGTGCTAAATTAAGTTTATTTATTAGGTCAAAGTAGATCAAACCAAATGACTTCTAAGAATTCTTTGTCAGGAATGATTCTCTTTTATCCTGCTACTCATTAAAACTATTACAGCAGATCTAGAGAAGGTTAAGAGAATAATAAAGTAATTTATATTAGCAACATGCTAAATTTCTTCTGCAGGAATTACCACACCAGTCAACTAACTACAAACTACTATAGAACAACCCAATATTCTTATTTTCATAAAAATAATACCCTAAGAGCTACTGACAAGCTACAGGAGCCCTGAGATACTAAATTTATTTAGGTTCCCCAACCCCTAATTTTCCATCTCTAAAACAAAAGTAATAGCAATAATACACTAACTTTTGTGAGGTTTAAATAAGATATATTATATTTAAATAACTGTGCTGTCTGGTATAAGAAAGTACTTATAAAGCTAATTACCAATATTAGTACATTAAAATTTATAGGTAACTGGATGAAGACAAGAAAACTAAGCTTATCCTCTATAAGGAATGGGACTGAAAACAGTGTTTATTCTCTCATGCCTATTATTTAAAGCCAGCTTTGTGTGAGTTATCAAATCTCTGGTACAAAAATAAAAATCAGCCTCAAATAAATTTATACCCTAGTTAATTTATCGGTGACTTCTTCCAATTTTTCAATTAGTCAAAATAAAAAAGCAAATAGCATACCTTTATGTAAAGAAAAATTAATTAGACTGTAGCCAGAGTTAGTGAAAGTTTCAGAAACATTCACTTCTCATAATTACTGGACTGATCCTTAAAAACTTCAGTTCATAAACAGTAGCTAGAATACAGAGTAACTTGCTCTTTTATACTGACGCACAAAATTCATGCACTGAGGGTAAGGTGGTGTCCCTCAGCCCAGCCTGCACCCTCTCACAGTCCAGGAGCCCTTAGGGGATGTCTGACTGATGGCTTAGGACATCCTTAGTGCCTCCGCAGAGGTGGAAAAGGCTCCTGCCACTGCTTCAATTGCCAGCCATGAGCCCTGCTCAGGGCTTCTGGCTGAGTGGCAGTCTCCCTGTTGGAGTGCACTGACCACAAGGGGGAAGCTCCTGTGTTGAATGTCTGCTGGTTGCTCCACTGTTTGGTCAATTTACATATTAGCCTTTTATTATAGATTAATTGGTGCACCACTTCCTTATTACTCTACTAGAGGCGCAGTGCACGAATTCGTGCACCAATGGAGTCCCTTGGCCTGACCTGCAGGATCAGGCCGAAACTGGCTCTCTGACATTCCCCAAGGAGTGCCAGATTGCGAAGAGAGCACAAGATAGTCTGAGGGTCCCCACCGGTGCACGATCAGGGCCAGGGAAGGACACAGGAGGTTGGTCAGGTGGAGCAGGACCGCAGGAGGGCTCCAGGATGTGTCCAGCCCATCTAGCTCAGTCCCGATCGGCTGGACCCCAGCAGCAAAATAACTGACAGGTCAGAGCATCTACCCCCTGTTGGTCAGTGCATGTCAAAGTGACTGGTTGACTGTCTGGCCCCATGGTGGTCAGAGCACGTCATAGCAAGCAGTTAAGCAACCTTAGCATATCATTTGCATACTAGAGGCCCAGTGCAAGAAAATTCATGCACTGGAGGGGTGGGGTCCCTCAGTCCCGCCTGCCCCCTCTCACAATCCGGGAGCCCTCAGGGGCAGGAGGCGACCAGGCGATCAGGGGAAGGCCATACCGCCATCACACTTCTGCTGCCACTGCTGGCAGTGCAAGCCTTGGCTGGCCCTGGTTACCCGAGTCTAGGGTGCCCTGGGTGGCTGGGTGCCACCATATTTGAGGGTGTGGCAGTCAATTAGCATATTCCCTCTTTATTAACTAGGATTACTCTTATTGGTTGAATGGCCGATCGGATGACCAGACACTTAGCATATTAGGCTTTTATTATAAAGGATGAGATCGGTTATCTTACATTGCTTTAGGATTTCTGGCAGCCTTTTAGCCTTAATCAAACCAAGAGTATTTATAAGTATTAATAGGAGCTTACAGCTTACTTTGACTGATTTCAAGTTTCTCAGTTGTGTTAATGCTTAAATTAACCTGATGTCTAAAACTGCTCCAATAAAAAAATCAGATAAAAGACTTAGCCATGGAAATCTAAAAAAGGGACCACAGTCATTCTATTACCAAAATATTTGAGGACATTCTATTGGCTGAGCACTGTTGTAGGTGCTAATTTAAGGAAATAGTATCCCTCCCCACTCTACTAAATTTAACTATTCATAAATTATTTGCTCCCTTTCAAATTAGCTACTAGTTTGTCAGAATAAGAAAAAAAATTTATGCACCTTGGCAAATTTTAAAACAAAATTATTAAGAAATTAACCCTGCTTTTCTCAACTTATATAACTATAAAGAAATATTTTAAAGAAAAATTACCTTGAACTGGGAAAGCAATTCATCTCCTACAGTTAAAGGGCCTGGTTCATTTTCATGAGTTTCAGCCCTCTTCAAGATTTCATCGATATCCATTTCCTATAATTAGAAAAAATAATCTTTAAACATACTTTAACATATTTTAAAGTAAACGTACTTTGTAGTTAAATATAGTTTAAATAGATAACACATTTTGCTTTTTTTACCTGGGGCTCTTGTTCTTCTCCTTCAGGTTCCTTAAAAAGTTCCTCAGCACCAAATTTTAAAATGGCAGACAACTCTTCTTTATTGAAAGGAGTAGAACTAAAATCAGAAAAAGCAAATAAAAACACTTAGCATTCACAATTAAAAATTTAACATTTTTAAGGCACCTTTATTAATTATTGTCATAATCACCTCATAACATAGATAGATGAAGCATTGTAGTATACTTATTTTACAATAAAAATAACTTGAGGCCTAAATGTTAAAGGGATTTTCCCCAAGATTACAAAACTGGAATGGTGAAATCAGGTATTGAATTTAAGTCTTTGACTAGAAATTAGTCCAATGCTTTAAAAAAATATATATTACACTAAAAATAGTACTTCAATGATCTGCTTACAGTATATAACATTAAAAAAATGAATGTAGTAAGATTCTAAAATGACAGTTTTTATAGTAAAGTGACTACCTTGAGGGGGCAGAACCTGTATGTAGCACTGTCTTGCCAGTTGTGTCCATTCTTTGAATCACAAGATGATCTAGAACCATCTTCTTTTTGGCCCTTTCAAGAATATCCTCTTCCACTGATCCCTTTGTAACTAGACGATAAATATTCACCTGTGAAGATATGCATGATGAAACAAATTGAAATGAAAAGGATTTGTTTTGCTAATATGAAGTACCCAAATATTAGAATATAGACTGAATCATCCCCTTGTGAAGTTTTCACTAATTAAAAGCAAACTGGAAAAAATAATTAGGGGAATAAAGAATACCTGTTTCTTTTGCCCAATACGATGAGCTCTAGCCTGCGCCTGAAGATCATTTTGTGGATTCCAATCAGAATCAAATATAACCACAGTGTCAGCTGAGGCTAAATTAATTCCTAGACCTCCAGCTCTTGTGGAAAGCAAAAAGCAGAAATCCTGTAAAGAATTATAAATAGGCACAATTTTAAATTCTTCCAAATTATCATTCAAAATAATCAATATGATCTCTCTTTCAAAATAATCAATATGAGTATTATTATTCACTTTTTGAACTTAAAAGTGTCTTACCAATAAAACTGAAAGGTAGTTTTTAAAAATAATAAAATACATGCACCTCTACAAAACCAAATAAGATTCCAAAATATAGCTAAACAGGGGAAAAATAAACATCAAAATAAAAATATGTTTCAATGAAAGTGGGCTAATTTACTTTAAAGCAAATTAACTGTCTTATGCTAAAATAGTATTAAGATTAACACTGTATAACCATGGTCGGCAAACTGCGGCTCGCAAGGCACATGCGGCTCTTTGGCCCCTTGAGTATGGCTCTTCCACAAAATACCACAGCCTGGGTGAGTCTATTTTGAAGAAGTGATGTTAGGAGAAATTTTTAAAAATTGGCTCTCAAAAGAAATTTCAATCGTACTGTTGATATTTGGCTCTGTTGACTAATGAGTTTGCCAACCACTGTTCTATAACATACAATTTAAAAACCTGACTTGCAAATCAAATTAATTCCACCAATGTTTTTTAAAAACTACAAGTATGACAAAAATAATGAATAAAACAATTTATAATCTTAAAAGCATCCATACCTCTGATCCTTCAGCATTAAAATGATCTAGAGCTTGTTTCCTCAACTCCCCTTTTATTGATCCATCTAATCTCTAGAATAAAACACATTAAAATACCACACAGAATTTAAAATAAATTATGAAATTATGTATAAAAATTCAGCATTGCTTTTGCTACAACTGTAAGGGTGTAAAACACTGACCAGGCATTATGTCTCTGGAGTCTGTGCTGTTAACCACTAGGACTGCTTTCCCGAATAGTAAATAGCATAGGTTGTCATTCTGCCTGAGACCCTATGTAAGCAATATATTTTAGAAATGCAAATTATTGAACTCCATCCCAGAATGATGAAGCTCTGCGGGAGTTCCAGAAAAACCCCTCTAGTTAATGTTTGAGAATCACCAATTTGGGGCTCTAGTCAAATAGCCACATTTGAGTATTAATGAGTGGCTTAGACAAGTGATTCTGCTTTTATTCTTGTCAGTTTCATCCTTAGTAATGTAATAGTTACTTAGTTAATAGAATACAGAAGATTCAGTGAGAAAATGCAATAAAACACTTAGCGCAGTGCCTGACATACTAAATGCTTACTAAACATTAGCTAATCAATAGATGTCCAAAATAAATATGAAATTTTAAAGTGTTTCTTTTTTACTAAAAATTACAATTAGGAAAAACTTTTGCACTGGCTGATTTTGCTCAGTAGATACAACCTGCTGACTGAAGGCTTGGTTAAATTCTGGTCAAGAGCACATGTCAGAATTGCCCACTCAATTCCCAGTAGGGGGCGTGCAGGAGGCAGCCATCAATGATATTCTCTCTCATCATTGATGTTTCTATCTCTCCCTCTCCATTCCCCTCTGAAATCAATACCAAGTAAAAAATAAATAAAAACTTTTTAAAAATAGTGGAATATCATTTTTTAAGGCATGACCTAAACCAAAATGAAGTTAAAAATGATTCTAGGAAGTGATCTGGAAAGAAGTAATTAGGGGCAGAGAACAATTCCTTACAAATACTTTTGTACTCCTCTTCTCCCCCTCCCTCACTACAGTATTTCTATGTGTATATATACTTTTCTTTTTTTTTTAAATCCCCACCTGATGATATGTTTTCATTGATTTTAGAAGAAACGGGGGTGGGGGGAGAAAAACATCAATCTGTTGCCTCCCATATGTGTCCCAACTGGGGAATGAACCCAAAACCTAGGTATGTGCCCTGACTGGGAATCAAACCTGCAACCTTTTGGTATATAGTACACTCCAACCCACTGAGCCACCCAGCCAGAGCTGTACTCTATTTTTATCTGACTATGTATACATAAAAATTTCCCTAAAAACAAACCAACATAGATGAAATGGGGTGGGGCTGTGGGTGGAATGGGGAGACAGAGGGTGATGATGTGGAGTGGAATAGGCAGACAGATGTTGATAGTAAAAGGGTACAGTTTCTTTTTGAAGTGATGAAAACCTACAATTGACTGTGATGATGAATATATGAGATTATATTAAAAACCAATTAATTACTATGCACTTTAAATGGATGAGTTGTATGCAATAAAAATTACATCTCAATAGAGCTGTGTTTTTTTTAATCAATGGTGTTCTTTCTTACTTCTTCCTTTAAATGACTACATATTTCTCAACCATGTTCATATCTCCAAACACCTGTCCTTCATAGCACTTACCAAAGATGTAATGTTATATTTGTTTGTAATTAACTGCTTAATGTCTATCTCCCACACCAGGCTATAAACACCAACAGAACAGGGATTATGTGTGTTGAGGTTGATCATTATAATTCTACTTCCTGAACCAAATACACATAATTCACTAGCTGTACATACTGGATTAAGATTATAAAATATAAAATTCTGGAAGTAGCACCTGACTCTAACACTGAACACTCATCCATATTTGCTTTAGTTATGTTAAATTTCAAAGTAAATATTGAATAAACAGAATATAAGCCAATTTTGGTCTCTATCTTCTCTAAGGTCATCAAGTTTTATTCAGCAAATTATGTATTAGAATAATTATGAGCACATATTAATAAATCTTCAGAATCTGCAACTGTCCTGAAAACATTGACAAGGAGTGTTCTCTCTTTTCCTTCCTCAGGATAAAGCCTAATACATAAGGCTGGCTCCTTTAGATTTGAACATATAAGAAAAATATAGAACTAAAAGAAAAGAAAAATTGAAGAAAAATTGTTTTGCTATTAAACGTAAGGTCAAGAAGAAAAAGGAATTATCAGATAGAATTTTTAAACATACATTTTCTTAAATGATAAGTAGTTTATATAAAAATCTTCATTTACAGAAGAATTTCAAGGTTTATAAGACTATAATTCCATGAAATTTAAATAAACAAAAATGACAAAATGAAATGCTTACTTGAAAGGGGAATTGACGATATTTCAAATACTCTGCAAGTATATCTAACATCCGCACCATTTGAGAAAAAATAAGAACTCTATTGCCTCTTTCTCTTAGGCGTATTAACAGCTTGTCAAGAAGAATCAATTTTCCGCTACTACGGATTAAGTGCTAAGGAAACAATAAATTACAACTGTTACAATTTTTAAAGTAACTAATCAAATGAAACAAATGCCCTACCACTTAAACACGAGTTCAATTTTAAATTGAGATTTTAAATTGAGATTTTAAATTTTCATAAAGTTGGAAAACAATTTTTCAGTTTATGAAATCTCCTAGGATGGCCTTTATCATTTTGCTCCTATGCTTAGACTAAACATTTTCTTGCCACTTGGTACCGAGGTTTTTGTTATATTTTCAAGAGAAAAAAAGAGACATAGTCTCACTCTATTTGCCATTTATTACAATATTCCCCAAAAAATCTAAGCTGAAAAACAATACCTTGGAACTAAGCATTCAAAGGTTTTGAAAGAGTAGGAAAATGTATTCTAATTTATTCATATAGAACTTCTTGATCCTAGCATTTCAAAGTAATACTGTAACTGAATATCAACTACTTTGTTCACACTTCTCATTTGTCTTTCTGAAGTGAGATGGGTAAGATCTAAAGTCAAGATATCCTTCTTAAGACTACCATTTGCCATCTTTACATATTCAGCATAATCATTATTAGTGAATTTTTTTCCCACAATTAAGAGTACAATAAGATTTGCTGGATAAATTATATCAGCTCATAATTAGAAAGATCTATTTTTAGAAAAATTATCAAAATAATTGTATAAGTTATAATTTTAAATGTGTTGACAAAGACTAAAAGTTAAAAAACACCATTATTTAGCTATACATTAGCCAAAGAGAATTTCTAACTAATATATTAAAGCCATTTTCAGTTATAAAATAAATATTTCTAGAACTTTGCTTTACCAAAATTAGAGTACTTAAAAATTCTTACTTGTAAGGCCTCCTGTTTATTATAGAATTCATTATTGTCTGGTGGTTTAATGAGGTAGCAGTGATTACAACATTTCTTTAGCTCCATCATAATATTCAAAAAGCCTGAGGTACTGCCCTTGGAACCTTTGCTGAGGGCTTTGTAATTCCTAGTTAATATCCATCTGTCCCAAAAAAAGAGAGAAAAATGAATATGTTTAGAAGAGGACAATTACCAGGATGAATTCTAAAACCATAAAAAATAATCAAGCATCAAAGCAAAATTTTACCACTAGGAAGTTAACAGCTTCATACAATGGACCAAATCTTGTTCACAAGACTGATAGATCTCATTCATAAGACTAAGGATAACTTGTTATCTGAACCATTAATAAAAAATGATAAAGGTTTAATGTAACATAGCTGAGTAGAGTGTATTTATCCTTTCCCAAAAAATTTACTTTAAAAATGGTGAATTGTATTGTCTATCTTAACCTTCTATAAGTTTCATTCCATAGGTAGCTCATGCATAGACCTAAAAGAAATCTCATGACAATACCTACTTTAGCCACAATGCTTTCTCTAAATTACAATTACATAATACATACACAAGTTATGAAAAAATTATGGGTGATTATTTTATTATTCCAAATTATACACAATTCTTCTCATCATGAACCACTTTGTTTTCTATCACCTTTTATTTTCTTTCTTTTTACAATGTTAGTCTTCAAAGGAACTTAAAACAATTCTCTGTCTCAATTGCTTCACAATGATAAGGGGTGGAGGAGGTAGAGGAGGCTAGATAAAAGACTGGAAGAGTTGAAAAAAACTAAGTAGAATGATGGGAATTTATTATACTAACCTCTTTTTGTATATGTTTGAAATTTTCCATAATAGAAACCTAAAATTCATGCAATAAACTTATTTCTTTAAATGTACAGCACTTACAGAGTTTACCATAAAATACATTTCTGAGAATTCAAATGCATGTAGCAATACATTTTTGCAATTAAATATTTAAATAGATGTTTCGTGGGATTAGATATTTTTTAATTCATTACTATATAAGATCTGACATGCATGACTTATACAAAATTATTTATTAGTATTAAAAAAAGCAGACCTAAATATTTTTCTAAATTTCTCTTTATGGCCTCTACCTCTATCTGTTCATGTAATTATATAATTGCAAAAAGGCACAGGTCAGGCTGAGAGACCCCATCAGTGCATGAATCCGTTCACTGGGCCTCTAGTAATTATATAGCAATGCCTCAATACCATGGAAATCCTGACACTGAAAAGGAACCCTCTATAAAATATGAAATACAGCCGAAACAGGTTTTGCTCAGTGGAGCGTTGGCCTGCGGACTGAAGGGTCCCGGGTTTGATTCCGGTCAAGGGCATGTACACTGGTTGTGGGCACACATCCAATGCATGTTGTGCAGGAGGCAGCTGATGGATGTTTCTCTCTCATCGATGTTTCTAACTCTTTATCCCTCTCCCTATCTCTCTGTAAGAAATCAATAAAATATATATTAAAAAAATGAAATAGAAAACTAATGATGTGTTAGAAGGTTAATGACTTAGTCTTGTATTACTCATGATGGGTGATGCCACTGGCCATGCCATTAAATCTTTCTTTGCCCCAATATGCCACAGGATTTAAGAATTATTACTGTCTTAAAACCCTATTGGGGAGATGGGACACCTCAATATGGGGGCTTATTTATAATTATAAGTGTTTAGATCATGTGCTTAGTTTACAACTTACTTGTAATACTGTTTCTGTAAAGCACTCATTTCCATTCTTAAAATCTGCTCAACCTTAGCAGGAAGTGATTTTTCCACATCTTTCTTAACTCTGCGTAACAGAAATGGCTCAAGTTCCTTGTGGAGGCTTGCATAACCATATTCTCTGCCTTTGCCATGCTCCTCTTCAAAATCTTCCCAGGAAGAAAACCTTACAAAGTTAAGAAAATGGAAGGATCACTAAAAGTCATATTGCAGATGAGATTTTTTCAGGATATTCATATGTAAACAAACAAAAAAAATAGATTTTTTTAAAGGAAAAAATTTTCTAGTTTTAATAACTACCCTTCCCAACTAGTTCATTCATAATGATAAAATATGAGTTGTTTTATAAAAACTATGAAAATTCTTGAGTTAAATAAAGATGGAAGTTTTTTCAAATGTGGAGTAACCATCACTAAAATATTTCTCAAATGATATAATCTTAAAGTTCTGAAACTATAGGTAGAGTGTATATGTGATCCTGAGAAAGTTATTATACACATTTGGTCTAGTTTTACTCATCTAAAAAATAGGATGAGCCAAACCGATTTGGCTCAGTGGATAAGAATGTTGGCCTGCAGACCGAAAGGTTCTGGGTTCGATTCCAGTCAAGGGCATGTACCTTGGTTGCGGGCACATCCCCAGTAGGGAGTGTGCAAGAGGCAGCTGATCAATGATTCTCTCTCACTGATGTTTCTAATTCTCTATCCCTCTCTCTTCCTCTCTGTAAAGAATCAATAAAATATATTTTTTAAAAATAGGATTACTAGCAAAGTAATCAGTTTTGAGTGTTTTAAGTAAGGTATATTCTGAACATGGGCAAAATCAACTTTTATTATAAACTATCAATAGAAGCCCAGTGCACGAATTTGTGCATGGGTGGAGTCTAGCAGGCCCACTCTGATGGGGCCTATGGGGGCAGGCCAGTGGAGAAGGGAGAGACAGAAACACGGGAGGTTGGACAACCAGCCCTGCCCCCAATGGTGGGTGAGGGAGGCACGATCAGGGGTGGGGGGTGGCCAAGGGCAGTTGGGGATGCTGACCCATCAATTGCATCATAGCAACCGGTTGTTCAGGTCACTTGGCATATAGATGTACTCAAGTTTATTTACAAAATGAGAAAATTAAAATAGCACTTATAAATATGAAATAGTCCATTTTCCTTTTTTTTCTCTTCTTAATAATCTGTGGGCCAATGTTTTAGGGCAACAAAATCTCTTACTGACCTTAATACTACACTATTACTTCCTGCTAAACTTAGCATAAAAACATTAATATTGTATATACCAATTTATCTTACTTTTCTGGCATAATGAAATGAAGCAAAGACCAGAGCTCTTTGAGGGAGTTTTGTAGAGGAGTTCCAGTGATAAGGAGACGGTGATTGGACTTGAAGTCTATTAAAGTTTTATACAGAAGAGAATCATCATTCTTTAATCGATGTGCTTCATCTACACCTATAAATGCCCAATTTAGACCACCAAGGAATGCCTTAAAATGAACAGAAAAATATAGTTAATATTTTCAGAGAAAAATTGAATTCAAACTTATGCTTCTCATTTGACCATAATTCAAATTATTAAAATGAGGCAAATTAAAACCAAACCTAACTCAAATTTCAAATGAAAATTTTATCATTTTAAGATTAACTGGAATACTCAAATTAAGTAATTAAACTTGAAAATAAAGTTCCTTCTACAAACAAGTTAGCCATTAGAATACAGAGTATATCAAGTGAACATTTTTATCAGTTTACAGACTGGGGGAAAAACCCCACAAAGAAAAACACTTGTATCATTGAAAATTTTTACAAGAGATTTTTAACTGAAGTCCAGGAAAAGCCTTTATAGTCAACTTGGAGAAAACATAATACAAATTTGAAACTGTATCTTACTCCAATTATAGAATTCATCATATGCTTCTAGAACTATACATTTCTCACATATAAACATGTGTCTGACTTAAATCAGAGACAGGCCTTATTCTATTACTTAATAGTTGTACGACCTAAGGTAAGATCATTATTCTTTTGTAACTTGATTTTTCTTTCCAATAAAATAGAGACAGCAGTATCTTGTAAAGTAAATGAGAATTGAGATATTAATCATAAAGAAACAATAGCTATAAAGCATTTAGGACAGTGCTACACATTTAGGACAGTGCTACATGCAGTGATAGTTCAATCCTGCTAGCTACCTACCCTCCTCCTCTTACAAATCAACAGACACTGAACTATTTTCATGTAAGTTAAGAATTGGCAAACTTGTTTAAAGAGCCAGGTGAGAAATATTTTAGGCTTTCCAGACAAATGTATAGTATCTTTTGCATATTGTTTTGTTTTTACAACCTTATAAAATGTAAGCATTCTTCTTAGTTCAAAGGCTAAAGTGTGCTGAACCTTAATTTACTATCTCATTCTATCCACAACATATTATAAAGAAAAAATTGATATTGATCAAACAAACATAGGAATACACACCTTATCCTTCAATAAAATTTCATAAGTTGTTAACAGTATATTAAATTTTAACCGTTTGGTCTGGGGATGCATCCATTCATGAGTTCTTATCTATCAAAAAATTTCAAAGATAATTTTAAGATACAAATTTTAAAAAGTATAACTTTACTTGAATTCCTAAAATAAAATTCATTCAAAACACACAAAAATTATGTACATGTTTATAAAATAAAATAGTTTGTTATACAATAAAATAGTTTAACCAGCTATGTTAACTATATAAGTAAAATGTATCAAAATCTTCTATAAAATAAAGCAGACACATCTTGTAATACTGTATACTTTTCACAGAAGAAAGTTAACACTAAAAATTAACCCATTTAATAACATTTATGGATGAAATATGATGTCTGCGGTTTGCTTCACAATAATTAGGAGGAAAATACCAGGCAGAGGTACAGATGAAACAAAACTGGCAATGAGTTAAAACTTTAAAGCTGAAGATAGGCATATGAAGGTTTATTATAATCTTCTGTTCGATTTCATGTATATTTGAAATTTTCCATTAGAAAGAAAAAAATAATCTATAAAGTAACACTAAACCAAAATTTGATTTTTAATACAGCCAATTAAGAATGTACTGAGCACTTACTTTTTGGCAAGTTCTATGCTAGAAACTAAAAACAAATAAAATATTTATCTTCAAAGAAAAGTATTCCTATATTTCATAAATTTGTGAAGATACCACTTACCATGTTTCTACTGTTAATATCACCTAAATAAACCACAGCATTCATTTGAGAAGCCCATGTCTGAATTTCCCTTTGCCAGGAAGTGAGAGTGGAGAGTGGTACTACTAACAGAAAAGGTCCATATAATTGATGTTCATGAAACAAATAATTCAGAAATGAGATCGTCTGTATTGTTTTTCCAAGGCCCATTTCATCGGCAAGTATGCAACTATTTCCTCTACAAAAATAAAAACAAAAATCATGTATGCAATAAAGATTCAAATTTACAAAGAAACTTTTTACATAAGCCATGCATAAGTTTATATGACCAGTTAATAAAATTAACAGTATTATATACAATATACCACTTTTATTAGCTATAAATAACAAATGTAAAGGTGTAAAAGAAGCAGAGTGAGTTTACCATTTTAGGGCAGAAGAATCTTAGAAATTGCAAGTATTTTCCAATTAATCAACTACCGGTATGTAGCCAAGAACTCAATCCATCTTCCAATGGTAAAGTTTGAATATATTAAGTAAAAAGTAAGAAGAACATATAGCAGAAAAAAAAACTACAGCTATGGTAAAATTTAAAAAAAAAAAAAAAAAAAAAGGCACCCTAGAGCCACCTTAGATTGCTAATAATGGAACAGTGGACATAGGACGGGGGGGGGGGGGAATTGACTAACTGGATATCAGAAATCATTGGGAAGCCAAAACAGGTTTGGCTCAGTGGATAGACTGTCGGCCTGCGGACTGAAGGGTCCCAGGTTCGATTCCGGTCAAGGGCATGTACCTTGGTTGCGGGCACATCCCCAGTGGGGGGTGTGCAAGAGGCAGCTGATCGATGATTCGTTCTCATCAATATTTCTAACTCTCTATCCCTCTCTCTTCCTCTCTGTAAAAAATCAATAAAATATATTAAAAAAATAATAACTGGGAAGAAAAGAAATAGTCCAGGACTAGTGTGGGATAGGAATATATATGTTCTGAGTTTAGTAAGATGAATAAAAACTTATTTAAGTACTGTGACAGGTTAAACTAAAAACAGCATTGTTTTTCTTCTTAGTATGTAATAAGTATTGTTTATGTGCAAGAAATTCTAAGACCTGCATATAAATACTAAATGGTCTCATCCTTTATATTGGGGAATCTTTTTCAAATCCTATAATTATAAAACTCTTACCATCACAAATTAAATAGATGATTCAAAATATACTTACTTGCACCAAGAGTGAGCAAGCCAGTTTAAGCCATTCAGTTGATAATCTCTTAATTCTAAACCTTCATGTCCCCCAATATAGGATGGCTGCTTCTTTAGGGCTACAAATCTTGGCCTTTGTTTTAATACCTTTAGTAGAAATAAGTGTTAATATGAAAAATTATTACATGTAAAAAATTATATTAAAGGATGAAAAATCTCAGCTTTTCCAATAAATTTTGAGATATCTCAAATCAAATTCAGAAATTCCATGATTCAAAATATACCTGATTCTATTAAAGGAGATTATGTTCTATTACTATAACAAGAATATGCAGTGAAACATTTTGCCCTCCTTTTGAATGAAAAATTAAAGAGATAATTAATGAAGTTCCTAATGAAATATTTGGGTCTTGTGTATTTCAAGCTATGCTATCCATTCACTTTAAGCATTCATAAGCCCTGACCTAGAAATAAACCCTAAAACTGGCTTACCCTCCTATTTGATTTCTGATTTCTAAGTTACCATTATGAATTTAATTCAGTCTTATAATTCCAGTGGTACTTAGACTCCAAAACTATCACTAATAATAACTTAAAGTACACAGATCTTATATTAGGCATGGTAGGTCTGGATACCCTCCTATAGGTACATGACTCTTTTCCTTTCCTACCTTAAAGAAAATATTCGCTACCTTTTAAACCAATCATATACACTAAGTTTCCAAGGGATGTTCTCTATTCTTTCTCCCAAACTTATTCATCACAACTACCACAATTTATCATCTTTCTGACACAGTTTACTCATCAAAGCTAAAAGACAGTGCAACGTCTAAGATCACACAGTAATCAGAGGAATACCATTTCCTATAAGATCTACCAACCAAGAAGTTCTCATTCTTAATTTATCCAAAATCAGGATCCAACACACTTGTAATACTTATGATGCACAACTACATTTTCAATAATTAAAAATGTCAAGTAATACTCACTTTGCAATCTTTAAAAGGAGTGGTTTTTGATTGATTTCTGCTAAAATATTCATCTATACATGCTTGAAACTTTTTGGAAATGAGAGCACCATCCTCCCAGCTGCACTCTGAGTATGGAAGGCCCTGCCATTTGCAATAATAATCAGGATAACCAGCTGCTGACTTTTGATTGGAATGAGCTGTGAGATAAATCAGATATTTTTTACATTAAATCTTATCCAATGAATAATTCTTATTAAAAACTACACAAGTAAAAATTAATCATCTGTTTTACAACACTATTATTTTGTAAAAGCAAGCTACTATGTTTAATGTGTAAGCAGTAAATTTAAGATTTTTTTCAAATGTTTAATTAGAATCATTTATTACTAACCAATTATTCGCTCCACTATTTGATACTGTTTATGCAGATCATCTGTAAGTTCTTGCTGGCAATTATAATATTCCACATCTTCTGGAGAAGCATTTTTCAACCTGAAAGATTAAAGCAAGGAACAGGCTTCAAAACCTTGCCTAAATAACCTATCACCCAAAAAACTATCAGTAACACAAAATCTACTATTTTGCCACTTACCTTTTGAGCCAGTTTAATAAAGAAATTAAAACAGAAATAAAGTAAAGCATAATTAATTTTTAATTTAAAAAATTTATAGTATATGAGACATACTAATGACTATTGTCAAGAATTTAGGTTATTCCTAAGAACTTTTAGAAGACCCAATACAAATTTCTCCATAAATAAGTTATTTTAGGTTATCCTTGATTCTTCACAATGTACTCTTGCTAATAAAAATCTGAGTAATAATCTTAGATTTATAAAAATATTAAGAATACATATCATATTTACCATCTTTTTGTTTCCTGATCTTTTTTCTTATAATTATCCAATTTTTTCATTCCTCTAACGTTCTGCTGTTTAAGGGTTTCTTCTGTCTCCCAAGTATTATGAATATGGGACCATCCTTTCCATTTAATTAAATATTGGATTTCTCCTGATTCCTTGTTTTTTTCAAATCCTGCATTTGGGTCACCATCTGCTTCAACTGCATAGATGGTTGTTGTAGCACCAGTAGCTGAAAAAAACAAAGCACAAAACATTCCCTGTAACTCTGTTATAGGAATGTTTCAACTGAACTAAAAAAATTAAAGAATATGAATAGAAAATATACCTATGCTCTTAAATAAGTCAAATATCAGGGCACAAGAACTTATATGAAGTTATGTTATACGTATGTAGTAAAAACTCAGAATTTTAGAACAGAAAAATCATCTAATTTAATCACCTCTGCATTAAAATTAGAAAAAACAAGGCCAAAGGGTAGTGGCAAACCTAAAAATATACAGCAATATAAAATAACTGTTGATTGGGAGACTGATAATTAGAAACTAAAATAACTTAAAATCATTTTAAAAACTTCATGCCTGAAATAACTATGTCAAAGAAATATCTGCACCCCATGTTCACTGCAGCATCATTTATAATAGCCAAGACAAGGAAACAATTTAAGTGTCCATCAACAGATGAATGGGTAAATAAGTTTCACACACACACACATACACACACATACACACGCACACATTTATGAATATTATCCATTACAAAGGAAGGAAATCGGCCATTGTGATATGGACTTTGAGGGCATCATGCTGAGTAAAATAGGTCAGACTGAGAAAGGCAAATACTGTATGCTCTCATATAAGAAAGCTTTAAAAAAAATTTAAAAATTAAAAAAAAAAACTAGGAGAAAAATAGATTAGATTTATAGTTACCAGAGGTGGAATATGATGAAAGTGGCCAAAAGGTTCAAAATTCCAGTTATAAGATAAATAGTACTAGGATGTAATGTATAACATAATGACTATAATCAACACTGCTATATGGTATATTTGAAAGTTTCGAAGAGAGTGTATGTGTGTATGTATAATATTCAGAGAGGAAGGGAGAGGGAGAGACATGGGAACGTCAATGATGAGAGAGAATCATTAATCGGCTGCCTCCTGCACATCCCCTACTGGGGATCAAGCCCACAAGCCTTCCATGTGCCCTTGACTGGAATCAAACCCAGGACTTTTTAGTCCGCAGGCTGACGCTCTATCCACTGAGCAAAACCAGCTATGGCAGACTTTATTTATTTATTTATTTTTTTAATTTATTGGGATGATATTGGTCAACACGAACATATAAGTTTCCAGTGTGGTTTTTATGTTATAAGATTTGTATATTGCACTGTGTGCCCACGGCACAAAGTCAAATCTTCTTTGTCACCATATATTAGGACCCCCTCTGGCAATCACCACTCTGCTGTTTGTATTCATGAGTTTCAGTTTTATATCTCACGAGTGAATTCATATGGTTCTTAGATTTTTCTGACTGACTTATTTCACTTAGCATAGTCTCAAGGTCCATCCATGTTGTTGCAAATGGCACTATTTCATGCTTTTTTATGGCTGAGTAGTATTCCATTATGTCTATGTACTACATTTTACTAAGAGAGTAGATTCTAACTTATTAAGAGAGTAGATTCTAAAAATTCTCACAGTAAGAGAAACCCCCCCCCCTTTTTATTGTATCTATGAGCTAATGGATATTATCTGAACTTATTATGGTAATCATTTTGCAATACATGTAAATCATTATGCTGTCCAACTAAAACTTATACAATGCTATGTGTCAATTATATTTCAATAATACAGAGAGAAAAATGCATGTCAAGATAAGAAAAATTAACCTACATATTTGAGATAAAACAAAAATACATTTTTAAAGAAACAAACTTTCAAAAAACAAAACAAGAAATAAAAAAATAAAAAAAGTCTTTGTGAAATTGAAAGCACCTAAATAACTATTATTTAGGGATGGCAACAAAAAAACTCTAATGCAAAGGTTAAAAATTTCATATTTATCTGAAATACATTAACTGAGATCAAATATCTATTTGTTGGGAAGAAAATACTCAAGGCAATGAAAAGTATATTCTACAGCAAATAAGTAAAACAAAGAAAATCTACAATCTTGGCTTTCAAAATTAAAAAAAGCTCCAAGAAATACTTTATTTAATGTATCGATAGTAATGTTATTGAAACCACCAAACAGTAAGTGTTTTTAAAAATAAATAAATACCTCCTTTTCTCCCAATCCGACAATCCATAAATCGTTCTATTGTTTCAAATTCCTCTTCCTCGGGTTGAGGAACATCCTCTCCACAGACTTCAAGGAGGTCATCAGAATCTGTTTTCATTTCTTCATCTTCCTTATAACTCACATTGACAGTTGCTTGTCGACGAGAACTTCTTTTATCATTATCATAATCTTCATCATCCTCCTCCTCAGATGAATCAATTTGTCTCTTTTTTTGTCCAAGAATCTTCTTTCCATTTTTTGACTTAGATCTAGGGAAGATGAAAGGGAGAGAGTTGTTTTACAGAAACAATGTCATAAAACCAGAACTGAGAAACAATATACAAAAAGAATAAACACCTTCTATAACCAACAATTTTCAGCATCAAATCAAGAATATACTTACCGATTTTGAGGTTTTCTACTTTTAACTTTGTTTTTTGGTTCATAATCAGATTCTGTTTCATCACAACTGCTTTTATCTCCTTCTTCTTCAGATTCTGAATCTGAACCAGATTGAGATGGAGATCCTGATGCAGACATCTGCCAATCTTCACTGTACATAAAATATATAAAATACATTTATTTATATTTACATCCTATTGCAAATTTTATCTTTGATAAAATATGAAAATAAAATAATAAATTGTATTATAGTAAATATTAAAAATATTGTTGCTTTCATGCATACTAAAAACACTTAAATGTCTGCAGAAAAAGAAAAACATTCTAGAATATATTTGTTATAGATTTCTCCCATAACTCCAAAGTTTTGTTAATCATTTACTTTATACCTCAATGAAAGGTGGTATATAAATGTTACTTTGATTATCACTATGGATGAAAATAGCATGCTAATTTTAAGAAACACAGGGTTCAACTTTTAAAATACTGATTACCTGCTCAAAAACAAAAATTCAAATCTCTTACAATTATCTGGAGAGAGTGAACTTAAAAATATACCCTTCAAAACTGATTTTTAAAAATAGTATATGTTCATTTAAAAACTTGAAAGAATATAGAAAAAATATATTTTTGAAAAATCAGCCCATCTTAACCTTCAATTATTACCTTTATCACTATTTTTTAGTCTAATTCCAATCAACATGAACAGAAAAAATAGTGGATGCACATTTTAACATTCTGCCATAATATAAATTCCAAATGAAAGATACACATTGAGTTCTATATAAGAACTGTCTCACAGTCACTGTTTTTACTCAGTTGCTCTGAATCTATTTTACTAATGACTATGTTAATGGTTACATAAGCAAGTATATCTGATAAGATGTGGTTTATAATAAAAACATAATAGAGAAACAAATTCTTTTTTATCTTGAAATCTTTTCAGTTTATACATTAGCAGTAACAAGTGGCAGAATATATGAAAAGTCTTCATTTTACATTTTTATAATATAAATTATGATTTTTATATCCAAGCAAATCCATTAATCAACCAACATTACTTTATATATATATATATATATATATATATATATATATATATATATATTTTATTGATTTTTACAAAGAGGCAGGGAGGTAAGAGTTAGAAATACTGATGAGAGAAAAACATTGATCAGCTGCCTTCTGCACGCCCTCTACTGGGGATCGAGCCTTCAAGCAAGGTACATGCTCTTGACCAGAATAGAACCTGGGACCTTTCAATCCACAGGCTGATGCTCTATCCACTGAATCAAACCAGTTAGGGCCCAACATTACTCTTATTTTTTGCTTGCACCTATGCCGAGTTTAGAAATTACTAACTCTGGAGAAGTGTTACACATCTGATGAGATACAGTAGTTGAAAATGAACTTAGTAAAGTAGAAGACAGATTTGTGAAAATTAGTAGCACAGAAATAAAATGATATAAAACATGATATAGTAAGATTCATGGAAGATAGGTGATCCAATAAATATATACAATGGGTATGATCCAAGACAAATTTACATCTATTAATAGTAGTACTAGAAAGAGAAAATATCCAGATACAATGACTGAATTTTCATAAACTAATAAAAGATATGCATCTTCACATTAAGGATGTATAAGATTAGATGCAAAAACAGAGTAAGATTAAAAGCTAGACATACCAAAGTGAAAATACAAAATATCAAAGAAAATTGAAAAAGAGATCATAGAAAAATGCTTTAAAAAAAATGAGAGGAAAAAAACTCAGACCATCTAAGTAACTGAATTGAGAATCTGAAGTACTTCTAATACTTGAAGACATTATAGTGAGTTCCTAAATGAGTTCTATCAAGTAAATTTCATGTGAAGATGAATAGTAAGGATAACTATTAACATAAATTAACAGAATCATCCCAAATCCATCATCAATTGATCCCTTACACTCTTATACCAAAGTTAAGATTCTCTGACATTATCAATAAAGCAGATATAAGGGAGAGAAGTTATAGGAGATAAACACGTGGCATAAAAACCTTAAGTCATCACAGAAAGACAAATGTTAAGAATTAATGGTTTAGCCCAGCGGGCATGCCTAAGCAGTTGAGCGTTCACCAATGAACCAGGTCATGGTTTGCTTCCCAGTCAGGGCACATGCCCAGGTTGGGGTCTCAATCCCTAGTGGGGGGCGTGCAGGAAGCAGCTGATCAATGACTCATATCACTGATGTTTCTATCTCTCCCTCTCCATTCCTTTATTAAATCAATAAAAATATATTTTAAAAATAATTAATGGTTTAAATTAACCTAATCAAATGTCATGAACCAAGAGTTTACAAAAGTCCATTTTTTTTGCCAACAATTTCTAATAAAAGAAAAAATATGAAATCATTAGGATTTTCTTGATATGAGAGTAAGTAGTCAAGTGAACAAAATGACATACTCTTTATGCTTTTTCCTTTTGATTTCACTTGATGTGTCATCAGAATCTTCACTGCTAGAGGAATCCTGTAGGAAAAAAAATAATCAACGTTAATGTTATTAATGATTGCAATTTAACCATATCAAATTTTTACGTGTCATAGCATTTAAAGTTCACTCTGCTAATAACAGTAAGTATAAAACCTCTTTCCCTCTGTTTTATGTTTATACCATTAGCACATAAAGTGATCAAAAATGTTTCTATTCAAATTTATAATATAGCCAGTGAAATTAGGTAAACATGTCAGCATTTTGTACAAAACTTTAAAGTCTGTCATCTATTACATATAAGGGAGCTCCCTCAACAGAAACTTTGCAGACATAAAATATTCAAAATGATAAAAAGCAAGAACCTACAATCAAGATTACTCAACTAGGCAAAGCTATCATTTAAGATGAAAGGAGAGAGGAAGTTGAAGGAGTTTATCACCACCAAACCAGCATTATAAGAGATGTTAATGTGACTTCTTTAAGAAGGAGAGGGAAAAAAGGGTAAAAACTACAAATACAATGGCAGTCACCACATACCTATAAATAATTACTTTAAATGGAATGAATTAAATGCTCCAATCAAAAGACAGGTCAGCTGAGTGGAGAAGAAAAGACAACCATTTGGCAACATGCACAAGAGAGCCAATTCAGATCGAAAGACACACACACAAACTGAAATGTAAAGCAATGGAAAAAGCTATTTTTTGCAAAAAAAAATGAAAAGAAGCTGGAGCATCTATATTTGTATAAGATAAAATAATATTTTAAAAATAAAGGCTAGGAGAAACCAAGATGGCGGCTTAAGGTATACACTTGTACGTGCTGCCTCTCACAACCACATCAAAACTATAACTATTGTAAAAGACTATAAACAGCTCTAATCCAGACCATGAAAAAGCTGGCTGAGCTTTACAACTAGAAGGAAAGAAAAAAGCACATTGAGACTGGGTAGGAGGTACAGAATAGTAGAGGTAAAGAAGTGCATGAAAAGGGCTGGGAACTGGGTATGCAGTCTTTCTCAATCAGAAGGGAGATGGAAGCTCCTGAATGCTCTGAACTCGAATTTCCAGCAAGGCTCTGGAAACCCAGACTGCTATGGGGAGAAACTGGACTGTCGGGCATCTGGTTGGAAAATGAGGGTGGCTTTCTCGGAGCAGAGGTGCTAGTAGTGATCATTGTTACTGTATTGAGGTGCAGGACAGGGGGACGCAGAGACTGGAGATGTGGAGATGGCTGACTGGCAGCCATTGCTGTTTGCTCTGCCCTGACGACTCCCTGAGATCCAGCCCCACCCAGCTTACAACCCAACCCAAGCTGTGCACAGTGGCTTTTGCATATGAATGGCCTAACCTAACAAACTGCAGCTAGGTCAGAGAGCTCCAAAATTTCCAAACCCCAAACAAAGAGGGAAAATCTGCAGATTTCACTGTAGCTCCTGATGGATGGCCTCAGGAAGTGGTTGACTTTGCACTTCCTTGGAGATCCAGGAACCAGTGTACCCAGTGGTCAGTGTGAGACAATACCAGATTGCAATGCCTCACATCCATAAGTGACACACTCAAGAGGCAGACTCAGTGAGCACCAAAGCCCAACTGAAGAAAGTACTGCCCAATATGGTGTCTCCAGCACAGCAGTTCTTCCATTATAGACACAGCAGGTTCTTACAGCCAACTGGCCTGGAGATTAATTCCTCCCAGTGATACAAACCAAGGCTTAACTACAACAAGACTGTGTGCACAGACCACAAAGGGGTGCACCAAGAATATCCACCTCAGGTGATTAGGAATGCTGAGCCACTGGGCCCTATAGAATACCTACCACACAAAGACACTCTATCAACACAGGGAAGCAGCCAAAACGTGGAGACGAAGACAAATGTCACAAATGAATGAAATAGAGAAAAGCAAACTATTGGATATAAAGTTCAAAACCACAGTTCTAAGGTTACTCAAGGATCTTCTAGAAACCCCTGAGGAACTTAGTGAGACCTTCAAGGATCTTAATGAGAATGCCAAAAAAAATGGAAAAGGACCAGTCAGAAATTAAGCATACACTGTCTGAAGTAAAGAATAAAATACAGAAATTCAACAATAGAACAGAGAATCAAGTCAAAGATTTGGAATACCAAGAAGCAAAAAACACTCCTCCAGAAAGCAAAAAGAATCCAAAAGTATGAAGATAGTGTAAGAAACCTCTCGAACAATTTCAAACATACCAACATTCGAATTATGGGGGTACCAGAAGAAGAGAGAGAGCTAGATATTGAAAATCTATTAGAAGACATAATGACAGAAAACTTCCCCTACCTGGGGAAAAAAATAGACTTACAAGTCCAAGAAGCGCAGAAAACCCGGAATCCAAAGAGGGCCATACCAAGACACATCATAATTAAAATGCCAAGGGCAAAAGACAAAGAGAGAATCTTAAAAGCAGTTAATTACCTACAAGAGAGTACCCATACAACTGTCGATTGATTTCTCAACAGAAACTATGCAGGCCAGATGGGAATGGCAAGAAATATTCAAAGTGATAAATAGCAAGAACCTACAATCAATATTACTCTACCCAGCAAAGTCATTTAGAATTGAAGGTCAGATAAAGAGCTTCACAGACAAGAAAAAGCTAATGGAGTTAAGCACCACCAAACCTGGATTATATGAAATGCTGAAGGGTATTCTTTAAGAGGAGGAGGAGGAAGAAAAAGGTAAAGACAAAAATTAGGAAACAACAAAGTGACAACAAATACCTATCTATCAAAAAGTGAATCTAAAATCAAGTCAGTAAAAACTTTGATGAATAAAATAAACTAATGAATATAATAGAATATGGGGCATAGAAAGGGAGTGAACTGACCATTCTTCGGGGGAAGGAGGGTACGAGGGGTGGGGGGAGAGATTGGATAAAAATCTTACACCTATGGATGAGGACAGAAAAGCATGGGATGGGGAGGGGGGACCAAGTGGAGGGGAGCTATGGGGGGGGGGGGGAAGAGGAACATCTATAATAATCTGAACAATAAAGACTTATTTAAAAATAATAAAGGCTATAATGCCCTGCCGGTACGGTTGATCACTGATTCATGAACCAGGAGGTACAGGTTCGATTCCTGGTCAAGGCACAATGTCCTGGTTGCAAGCTTGATCCCCAGTAGGGGGTGTGCAGGAGACAGTAAATCAAACATCACCATTGATGTTTCTGTCTCTCTCTCTCTCTCTCTCTCCCTCTCCCTCTCCCTTCCTCTCTAAAATCAATAAAAACAAAAAAGGAACATAGCATATAAAATACCCAAGATAAATATCAATCAATAGACAATTGGGATAATAATGTGGTACATATATAAAATGGAATAGTACTCAAATATGAAAAAGAATGTAATCTTACCATTTGTAACAATATGGATGTACCTAGAGGGTATTATGCTGAATTATGGTGAAATAAGTCACATGAAGACAAATACCACATAATTCCACTAAAATATGAAATTTAAAAAAAAAAATAAGTGAATAAAAACAGGAACAAAGTTATACATACAGAGAATAAACTTATGGTTGCCACATGGGAGGAAGGTTAGAGGGCTAAGAAGAAAAAGATGAAGGGATTAAGAAGTACAAATTGGCAGTTATAAGAGTTACAGAGGTATAAATTATAGCACAGGGAATATAGTCAATAATACTGTAATAACTACATATGGTGCCAGTAGATATTAGACTTATGGGGGACGGGGACAACTTCATAAGCTATATAAATGTCTAACCACTATGAAGTACACCTGACACAATTTAATATTGAATGTCAACTGTAATGGAAAAAATGAATCTATCTACTCTGGAGACCATTATTATTGCCTACTATGGCCTCAAAAAATAATCTTAATTTTTGGTATGTCAAATTTTAATCTTTTTCTCCCCTATTAGGCTCACATGTACATAGGAACTACAACGTTTACAGCTGCAGCCTATTCTTTTAAAAATATGTTGAGAATTCTATTAATATTCTGTACAAATATGATTTAAACAGTATATTATTTCTTCATTCATATATCTATTTCCTAATATTCACATTTAGTTCATTTGTTTTGCTTTGATGAACAAATGCACACCAATTTCCATTTCTTGCTTTGGATTAATCCTTAAAAGTACAATCCTATCTTACATAATAAGAGAGGAATATGCTAATTATCTATTACACCATGAGGCCTAATGACCAGATCACGTATCTGCAGAAGGGTAGGGCAGTGAACTCCAAGCGGATGGAGGAGAGCTAGAGGAGGGGACAGGGCAGCAAGCTATGAGGCGGGAGCAGAGGGGAGTTACAAGAGGGAGGAGCACCGGGCAGAGAGATACAGGAGGGTGGCAGAAAGCTACTGGTGTACCGATTCTAAAATCTCTATATTTCAGGACTCTTGATACACATATTTAAATGTAGTCATCTCCTATCCTTTAAGAACACTATTTCTAATAATTTCTTAATTACCTTCCTACTTAAAAGATTAGGCATCATGTCTACTTTTAAAATATTAGCTTTCATAATGAAAACTCACCTCTTCTGATCCACTATTAGATGAAACCTGTTGTTGCTGCTGTTGCTGTTGCTGCTGCTGCTGCTTCTTGAGCATTGCGGATCTCTGAACAGCCAGAATACTAGGACTGGATTTCCAAAACTACAAAAGAAATATGAACCAGTAAAAATAAAGTTTTGAAAAATACTGAAGTTATTTTACTGAAAAGCAGTACCAACATTTTCACTGCCTCCAAATAATAAAGATTACCTCCCTTATTCACATGTAATATATTAGTGCAATCCAATAAAAATAAAATGTTAACCTTTCGTTGCATATAAATATTTATGCAAGTTTCATAAATAGACAATGTTCTTTGGTGTTACAAGCTAACTTTCAGAAACAAGCAATATAAGACACCAATGTTACTCAAAGCATGGCTGCTTATTTTTTCTAACTGGTGTGAAGTGAACATGAAGAGCTTAAGTCAAAATGCAGATCAACTACATTTCTAAGAACTTTTTTTCCCCCACCTAATAATATTTTCTCCATGAAGAAAGCTATGTGTTTATCTATATTCTGGTCTAAGCATCTTAGGATTGGATCTCTAAATAATACTATATATACTATTATAAAGTATAGACAAGTTTTATTAAGTAGCTTTTACAAACAGAAGGTCCCTTAGTCTATTCTATCAGGTATCTTCAAGAAAGCAGAGTTCTCTTGCTACTAGCAATAAAGTATTTCCATGTAGATCTTGAAAGTGGAGATCAGACACTGTAGAAGTAACAAAAAGATCTCACAAAGTCTTTAATTTTTATCTGTTAGATACTAAACATTTATGAAACCCAATGTCTGCCTCACAAAGAATAAGAATAGGCTTGGTGCATTTATTTTGTATCTGCTGTTTTATAGTTATGGATTCTCTTCGAAGCCAATTATTCCACAGATATTTAACCATAATTGAAAATCACTTGAAAGTAAATTTTAATGTTTAAAATTAATCTTTATAAAAGCTAGATTAAGAATGCTATAAATTGTCTGGCTAGAATGGCTTAGTGGTTGAGTGTCAACCCATTAAGCAAGATGTCCCCAGTTCAATTCCTGGTCTGCTCATGTTTTCCAGTTAGGGTATATGCCCAACTTATGGCTCAATCCCCAGTGGAGAGGAAGGCATGCAGAAGGCAGCCAATCGATGTTTCTCTCTCAGATATTTCTATTTCTCTAACCTTCTTCCTTCTCTTCTCTCTAAAATCAATAAAAACGCATTTAAAAAAAATAATGTTATAAATCTTCCTTCATTGGATACTTTATTTATTACCTCAGCTCCATCAACTTTTGGTGGTTTTGCTTGAACTTTGTTCTCTCCAGAAGTGTCTGACTCAGACTCTGACTGACTGCCCGATTCAGATCCAGAGTCAGAGTCACTGCTACCTGACTGGCTACTGCTTCCATCACTACTGCTTCCAGAACTGGAACCGGATCCAGAGCCTGAAGCTGACCCAGAATCATCATCCGACTGGCTGCAATATGAAAATGAACAGATTTCAAACAAAATTCATTAGGAATTTAATCTTTCTTAAAAAGTCACCAGAAAGCCCCAAATCATTAAACCTTGTTTAGTTCATATTTCAAACTTCCTATGGCCAAACAAATAGAAAAAGGAAATAAGGTTAATTTATAGTAATAACTGACATGGTTAATAGATTATGTACAATTTGGGCCAAAACCTAAGTAATCAGATCACAATCTTCCTCCAACGTAATGGACATATTCTACCATGTTCAGAATCCTGGGCTACAAACTTGGAAAGTTTAAACACAATATCCTAAAGAGCCTATTTGGCTGTAGTAAATATAAAGTAGGAATTGTGAAGAAAAGGTTAAAAAAATGTGTTGAAAATTCTCATGGCAACAGGTGGAAATTTATTTGTAGTTTCTACTTGTTTTCAAGTTTAAATCTGTTTTATCATTTTAGGAAAATGTGATATATTATAATTAGGCTAATATAAAATACTTGGTACTAAAAAATAAAATCAGTAATTGTATCTCTGAGAAAATCGACTCTGTCATGATTCCACAGTAATAACCTAAAATAATAGCAAATTCTCACAATCTTTCCTTAACCTCTATGCACACAAATGTGAAAGCAATTAATAGTTTATTAAGAAACCATCAATTTCCCCATTACTAATTTTCAGTTCAGGGAAGCCTAGATATGATCTGAATTAAACAATTGATTATATAAATTATAATTATTCCCAAGGCCATTTGTTCATGTGGCATTCACATTTGAATTGTTGAAAATTAAAGAATAAAATTTTTGATACACAGACAGCCTTTGATGTAATTTCATCTGGCTTTATAAGCAACAATAGGTAATGTATATCTTCTCTATATAGAAAAACTCATGCTTCAAATCTTCTGTTGTAATTTTCAGAAAAACCACCAGATGGAAGTATTACTCTATGAAAATAGATTTCAATATTAAAAGTAATTACTTCCTAAAAGTAATTCTCCTTTCCAAGGACAAGGAGTTAATAGTTTCTACCTGGAAAGTGACATAAAAGTTTGCAAGAATATTTTTTACTTCAAACGTGAGATATAAATTAAAATGCTTAAAATGCAAATATATACAGATTTTTTTTCAATGGAAATGTAGAAACAGTAAACAAAAATTTGGTTCCTAAGAGCTATGATATGAAAATCATTTTTGTGGCAATTTCTAACCTCTGATCACATGGTTCTGAGGTCCAAGAACAGCACACAGCATTGTAATTATGCAAAACAAAACTATCCCTTAAAAAAGGGGGAAGGGAAGCATATGTAATACTTGCAACAATAAAGATTTATTGAACAAAATAAAAATCCCTATTTTACTTGAGTCCCTTGAGAGAAGAAGTTTCAGCAAGAACATTAGAGAAGATATTTTTCCTTATATACAATTTTATTCTACTGTGACCTGAGAGGTAAGATACATCTACTTATTCAATAAACTTAACCAAGAACTACCATGTTAGGCACTGGAAAGATGGAGATGAAACAGTCCTTTAGAGAACTTCAAGCCTGGTATGGAGAGATGGTCATGTCAGTCAATAAATACCATTCTGTGCTATATTTAAGATAATGAATCCAAGTATAAAGGGAGCATTGATGATACAACCAAGTTTGGTACAGTAATATCAGAACATTTAGAAAGCACAGTTGAACTAATTCTTTAGGAAAGAATAAATAGGCAAAAGGGATACCACTTTAATTGTTTATAAGCTTCTTGAGGATATTACTTATTTTTTCCGGAGTACCTACCACAGTACCTTTTACAGGTGGCTACTCAAATACTTGGAAAGTAAACAAATTATTTAATCTGGGAGTGAGGGGCCCATCATGGGCCTATATTCTTAATCATGTCTTGATAGCCCTTCAAAATGAATAAGGAGTCAACATTACTTGTTATTACGTAGGCAAGACATGGTTCTGGCTAGAGATAAAAGCAAAGAGCCTGAATCTAGGCTACTCTACTGGCATAGGTTTATTATTAGAATGTCTTTACCTTAGATATTAGAAGTATAAAGTATTTATTTACTTTGTTTAGTTATTCTTAGTAGGGTTAAGAACAAGATTTCTTTACAATTCTTTTTGTTCTTTAGGAAAATTCCCTCCCATAATCATATTATTGTCATAAAGTCAACTGAAAAAGTCTAATTCTGTAAGACCACTTGATTTAATTAGGATCATTTGCTTTTTATTCATTTCATTTTAATTTTGCTTTATTATTTACTTGGATTGAACCTGAGAAATGCAAGTTATAGTCAAAGCCCAGCCTCCATCCTATCTCCCCTATACTAGGCCCTCTCTCCCCCTTTAGTAATTATTTTTAAAACGTCATTTCCCCCTTTTTTCTTTAATATAAGCAAATTATGAATAAGAATGTTTATATCCCCCTTTCATAAACAGATTTATACTAATATAAATATATAGGAGTATGTGTGTATGGGGGTGGGGGGTAGAATAATAGGAAAATGCAGCAAAAAGTTAAAAATTAGTGAACCTGTGTAAAAGGGATATAAAAAATATTCTTACAAAGAACTTTTATGCATAAACACACAACTCATGAACACAGACAATATTGTGGAGAAGGTCTGGCATGGAGGAGGTCAATGGGGTAAAAAATGAGACATCTTTAATACTTTTGACAATAGAGATTAAATTTTAAAAATTCTTGGTACTATTCTGAAATTGAAAATTAATTCAAAATAAAAATGCCAATAAAATAAAAAAATTCCAATACCACAAGCTTTTGTCATTAATATTTAAAACTATGAAATCTCATTTGCTGATAATAAAACATACAAAATGAGAAAATTTAAAAGCCATAGAAATCTAATGATTATGAAGTTGGTAAACATTTGGTAGTATGAAAAATAAAGACTCTATTATACAGTCAGTCTATAAAGTGGCCAAAACACAGGTGAAGTATAAAAACTACACAAGCTTTTTCCTAAAGCAACCTGGAAAAGTAGAAATATTAAAATTATTTCCTCCCCCCCACCCCCCAACAACTTAAAATTAGATAGATGACTTGGAGGAAGAAAAAAATACAAAAGGAGAAAATTAGAGGTAGAGAAACCAGGAGGAAAGAACAAGAAATGTTATATGAAAAACTTAAGCCTTAGCTTTTTAAGTAAAAAGCAAAGAGGAAGTAGTAGTAATAATTAATTTACAAATATGTATATTTTCCAGTTTGTCAGGTAAAGTGCTAGAAAGTAGGGATAGTTATTAAGTAAAGCACCCCCTACTGGTTTATGTTGAGTAGATACTAAGTACCAGCCATCCTGAGTTGTCTTATATAATTGGGGCAGAGGTCTAGGAAAAGCTAAATTTTAGAAGTGAAGGATGAGTAGAGTAGGAGTTCCAGGGAAGGAGGGATTAATAAGCTTTCCAGGTATGGAGAATTGTTTTATACTAAGGCTATGAGGTGAGAAGGCATGGCAAACTCAGGAGCTGAAAGAAGTAAGTCATCTATTTAATTTTAAGTTGGGGGGGGGGGGAATAATTTTAAGAAGCTACTTTTAAAGTAGAAATTTGGAAACATTGGGTCTACTTCCCACATGGTCACAAAGTAGCACTAGTTCCTTTCAATGATGCATGATATCTAATTCATGATGCTCCCCCACCCCCTTATCCCCAATATCTTATACCTGGACAGTTTTATTCATGTATATTAACTGCTTGGCCCTTATGGCCCTTTCTCTCATTTATATACCAATTAAGACAAAATTTTAAATAGCTCTTCACAGCCTTCAAGAAATTTGCATTCTGTACCGAAACCGGTTTGGCTCAGTGGACAGAGCATCGGCCTGCGGACTGAAAGGTCCCAGGTTCGATTCTGGTCAAGGGCATGTACCTTGGTTGCAGGCACATCCCCAGTAGGAGGTGTGCAAGAGGCAGCTGATCGATGTTTCTAACTCTCTATCCCTCTCTCTTCCTCTCTGTAAAAAATGAATAAAATATTTTTTAAAAATTTCGAGACTGTATTCCATTTTATCTACACATCAATAAAAATATATTTATAGGCATATACAGGGAATTTTTCTAGATCCTTTGCAGAGGAGGTAACCCTATCAGGGTCTCAACTTTAAGGAGACTTAATTCCATAGTCAACTTAATTCCAATCCCATCCCCAACCTCCTGTTCTGAGGGCCTTACATCCTTCCAACACCCTATCCTCTCATATTTGTTCATAATTTACTGCTCCTTCCTCCTCTAACTATGATTTCCTTTTTATTCCTGGCAAGTGGAAAGTTTCCTCTGAAGTTCAGCCACACACCTTTTTGTTCCCCAATGTTCTACTTCATTTAGCATTTTTCATGTGTTTTGTGGGTAGCAGTGAGTCCATATTATAAAATAGTTCAGCCCACAATATGGCAGAATAGCAACCTCCCTTTTCTGTACCCAAATATCCACTCAAATCAATCCTTTGAACTAGGGAAAACACAGAGACTTGTACTGGATACATGAGAACAATGTATTCTCAAGTTAAACAAAGATTCTTTTATATTACAAGTATTTGCTTTTTTTATCACAGAAATTTGAAACTATTCTGCAATGGAACATAAAAAAAATAATAAAATAACAAAAGATCTTCTAAGAAAATGGTAGCAATGAGCAGTTGCTTTTCTTACCACAGATCACTAATAGAAAAAACTGTCTCTGATAAATCTAGGAATAGATTTTAAAAAGTCAAGAAAGTAAAATTGTACTGGGTGCAAAAGTATTAAAGAGGAATGAAAAGAACATCTCAAAACAGTAGCACTAAAGAAAAACGACTGCGTGTTTAAACATATGTAAATTAGACTGCCTATATCAAAGAGAGAAAGGACCACAATGGCCAAACAGTTAACATAGGTATTCATTAAGTCAGGGCCTATATTTTATATCTTTTATATATTTTACTTTATATTATATATTTTATTCATTTTATATCATGAAGTATATATGTTTGCACATGAATACATGAAAAAGTT